CCCTTCAGTGGCAGTGACATCATTTAAATCATTTAAATCCTCCCCAACGTGACCTGTGGCAAGTGACCCGTCATTCTAACGCTCACACCTCCGTGTGAGACGGCCAGCGAAACTGCTTATTTAGCGGAAAACACCACCCGGCTAACAATGTGATTTATTCTAAATTATTCCTCCGCGGTGCTCCTTCACAGAGAGTGTTTGCCCATAGTTCACTGTGGTCCAGGCAATTAGGAGCCGGCCACACCTCTACAGGAGACAGAGCACCTGGCTGTAGCAGACAGACGTGAGGAGGAGGAGGAGGAGGAGGAGAGCCGAGCGGCGCACAGCTTTCCACGACGAGCAGGAATAACTAAAGCAGGGCAGTGAGGTAGATTGAGGAATGCAAGCCAGGCACTTTAGGATTCATTTAGGTCCCCCCCCCCATCTCCCTGGTCACTTTATTAGCAGTCTGGGAAGAGTGATGCATGTCCCAAAGCTATGCAAAATGCATAATCAAGCATTTAAAAACGCACCCAAGATGGGTGTGTGCAACCTGCATGCATGTGCACACACTTGTGCACACACGGGGTACTTGCACAGAGTACCATATAGACGCACAATGATACACACACAAAATGCTTACTACTGTAAAAGCTTGTGGTGTAACAGTCAGTGCTTCCTATAGTTCTCCCACGGGATGCATTGTAACAGCCACCTGTGTAACGCAAAGAAATCCTCAATGGTCGATTTCAGTAAAGCCTACAGAGCTTTGTGGGGTCGTTTGTTTGAGGAATCCGAGCTCGGTGAATTTGAGGAAAAAGGGGGAAATTTACATATCGCAATTCCACTCTCATCCCCATCCCCTCCTTTCTGGTCTCTTCAGCAGCGAGCCAAAGCAGACTTTAGTTGGGGAAGTGGGACCTTTTTATTCCCAGTCTATAGAAATACTCCACGTACAAAAACAAACAAATAAGCAAATACGTCGAGATGAGAACGGCTCCCAGGAGAGGTGGACGCATGCTACGAAAATGCGAGGAAACAGGTTTTCACAATGCCTCATCCTGGAAATAAGGGGGGAGCCGCCGCTCCGTCGATGATTCAGTGGAAGCACCTGAGATTAGAGGAGAGGGTTGGGAGAGCAGCAACACAGCAAAGTGCAGGTGTTACGTCTTGGGAAAATCAGGAAAAGTACAAGCGCCAACAACAACCTCCACTGGATTTATCTGAGCTTAAACAGTGATGTGCCAGCACAACCACGTGCAAATTACCTTTGCCAATGCTTTCGAATGAAAGGTATGCATGCTTTAATTAAACAATTGAGATAATCCGTTGCTTTTCATCTGGTTGTTTCAGAGAAAATTAGCTTATGACATGACATTGAAACATTTAAAATGAATAGAAAACGACTAACTATGATCTACTGGGATCTCTGGCGTTACAGACCTGCTCACTGACCTGCTCACTGACCTGGGAAATGGGCTTCAATTTCCTTAATAATTGAGGGAGGGAAAAAAAAAGCTACAGAATCGAAAGGTGAACGGAGGGGGACAAAAGTCTTCTGAGGCCTTTTGAAAATAAAAAAAAGAAAGCGCCAGTGAGCAAGGGGGGGGGTGACTAAAAGAGCTGCATCCTGAGGCCCTGGAGGGAGCTGCAACCGACCAGGTCAGCATTTCACAAGTGTCACTTCCTGTTGGCATCAGCCGCAGCAGCGTGGCTCGGCGCGGTGGCCAGCGGGGGCACAGGGCCTGTCAGACTGACACAGGAGGTTATGCACCGGGCAAACGCACACACACGCAACACACACGTGCAACACACGCATGCACCCCTTTCCCTGTGCTAACAAGTGGGATTTGCGTTTAAGGTAGAGTGTTGTGACATAGAAAAGAGTATGTATGCATCTCACACAGCCGTGCAGGAAAGTAGTTTTCTAAAGGAAAGGTGGGACTTTGCCAACTCACGCTATCGTATTATCGTATTAGACTTGACGAGTAAACATACAATCTCAGCAATGGGAACTTCATTCATGTACAGAGCAGACCCGACGTTTCCCCGGATGAAGCGGACGACGGGCGCCACTCATTCTGATGTGACCTTATATGTATTCCTCCGCTATGTACAAAAAAAATTTAAAAATCAAACAACAAATATATACTTTCTTTTATATTAATCGATTTACAGTGCAGTTTTTAAACACGGCTTGAGTCGGCCTGAGAACAACGGAGGTTAGAGGATCGCGACAAAGGGTGTGAGCGTATTCTTTGTCTGATGTTGATATCCAGCAGAGGAACCGTCTGCCTGTACGAGTGGCCTCTGCTTATCGTCCCTCAGTCCGTCAGTCCGTCTCTGCCTCTGTTAATGCTGCTGTTTGACATTGCAAGCAGCAGGCTTCTTTTTTTTTTTTTTACTCTCCCACCTTCCTCTGTGACAAGGGGAGCTTTAGCCTAATTGGTTCCAGAGCAGACCCTGACAGAACTCTTCTCAGCGGCACACAGCCATATTAATACCCCCCCCCCCCCCCCTGCCAGCCACACACACACACACACACACACACACACACACACACACACACACACACACACACAAACAAAAACAAGCACAGCAATCAGCAGCTGGCTCGCTAATTAACGCCCTTACAAAGCATCTCATTAGCATGTGTTGTAGAAAGGGGCAGTGGGGGAAATAAGCATTTTGGATTAAAAAAGGAAAGAAATTACTAAATAAGACCATGCCGCAAGTGTGTGTGTGTGTGTGTGTGTGTGTGTGTGTGTGTATTGTATTCTACTCAGGGGCCAAGGGCCTTGGTTGGCCCATTGTATCTCAGGGGAGTCCATTACAGCTCTCTGAGGGAGACACTGGAGTCAAAGATAAGCAGAATTTTAAAGGCAATCAGGGAAAATAAATCTCTGGCACGCGGGCAACACTTTGGGTGTTAACCAGCAACTTAACCTACCGGTACTGTGAGCAGAATAAGAGATGGAAAGGGACGGTTGGGGACAAACAAAAATGTCCACACAGTTTAATGTCTTATAGTAGATGAATGATGAAGATTTTGGCTTCTCACACATATTTGCCCCGTACTTTCGTATTTCGTCTCTTCCCATCTCCTTCCGCTCTTCTTCCATCCTTCCCATCTGCCGGTTTATCCCCTCCTGGTTTTAATGTGGCTTCATCCCAGCCTGTAAAAACAGCCCCCTTTGAACCCTATAAAGGCAGCCAACATCAGGCTTTTTGTAAAACAGAATGATAAGGTAAATGTTTATCCCCTCTCCGCCACTCTAAACTCCCCTAATGAGCCTGCTGGAGGGGGCTCGTCCCGCGGCTCGGATACACTGAGAGGGACAGAGAGAGAGAGAAAGGAAAAAGGGCGTTCTGTGCAGATCAGGCCATCGGTGTGGAGATGCAGCTAAAGCCCCGTCATTAAAAAAAAACATGTAGCATAAACACAGCAAGAAGAAACTAATTTCATAATAAAAAAGATCAGCAAAAAGCACAAAGAAAGGGCCAAAGAATCTATAATGTCAAGCATGACAGGTGTCAAACGCGTTACATGCGACAATCATTCCTTTCTGTTGGGCACAGATTGCGTGGAGGTAAACCAGACATACCGGTGCAGAGCGCAGAATGACTGGCTGGGAAGGATAAGCTCTCTGACCCCGCACTTCCTAACAGCCAGTGGTTGTTCTGACCTGCCCATTATCCAGCGGTGACCCCGCCATTACACCCACTGTCAGTACGCGGCGCTGCGCGGCGCGGCGCCGCCCCGCGGATGAGCCATCGCTTTCACCTCTGAGCGGCGACGCTCGCCCACGCGGACGGAGAGAGCGGAGCGAGAGGGAGAGTTCAGAGTAATGGCGAGCAGGCAGTTAGAGGTCGGAGGTCCCGTGCAATCGGGACGGCAGTTCCGCTGCTGGCAGCCAGAGCGGAACTGCGGGAGAAACCTGGAAGTAGATATGATGACCTTTTGTACAGAAGACCCCCAAAATATACCTTCTTATCAAAATGACCTTAACGCAGGAGCATGGGAAGGCGAGCTGAGTCCATCCATCATTTTAAAGATTAATCCTCCTCTCTATTCTTCTCCTCGATCTATTAATAATGTCGCCAGAGGGAGGAATTTACGGCAAAGATTTATTCTGATATTGTGACTTTTATTCATTACTCTATAGCGGGGGAATTCCTTGAGAAGGCGATATAGAGTGAACTAAGGGCCTGCTAATTCACTAATCATGCCCTATTTGAACTATAGAGAACTCTACCAAGGCAATCCTTTAACTCGCTGATGTAACACAAACAGCAAAGATTATCATTTACCCGCCATCTTATCTTTTGAAGCAATTCTAAGCGGCTTCCATTTGTAATCCACAAACATTTAACAACGTCTTGGGTGATTCTGTGGCAGGTATGAAGCTTGAAAATCAATTGGAGTAAAAAACCTGGCACTTGGATCAAAGCTTCTCCTCACTCATTTAAACAAAGCAGTTACATTAATAGATCTGTACACTGGATTTCGCACAGTGGAGCAGCACTAACAGCCCCGGGGGGATACTTCAATTAGAGACTTGGGTGAGTTTAAACCCTGCAGATCTGCTCTCACTCAAAGTGTCTCTCTCTCTCTCTCTCTCTCTCTCTCTCCCCCCATATCTGCGCACAGCACTCCCTCTTTTCCTCCTCTTCAACTCCTGCTCTCTGTAATCAACCCAGTGCTAATGGCTTATTCTTTCTGCTCCAGCACCCGCATTTCACTTGTTTATTTTCCCACACTCGTAAATCTGGGGACGTGTCACAAGCGCGGCGATATTAGAGTAATAATCTCAGGTAATTATCAGATGCCCTCTCTCACTTTCTCTCTCGCTCTCACTTCCCTTGAATGCTCCAAGCACAGACGAACAAAGTTTCTTCTCCTTTCCCCCGGAAAACAGTTTGTGAGAAGTGAGACGCGCCTTTTCTCTGGATTAAGGAAGGGTTTCTCTTTAAACACGGGGGACCTGGGGGGTTTTAAAAAAGGTCAGACTGCCACTTACCCACTCCTGCTGAATGAGGCTGGCGGCCTTGCTGGCCCGGGACAGGTTTCGACAGGCCAGGATCACATGGGCGCCGTGAAGAGCGAAAGACCTGGCTGTCTCCAAGCCTGGGACACGATCAGCGAGACAGACAGACAGACAGACAGACAGACAGACAGACAGACAGACAGACAGACAGACAAAGACATGAAGAAGAAAAAAGAAGAATGAAAGCCAGCAATGCTTCAAAGATTTTTTTTCCGAAGATAACTTTGATTCTCAGAGGTTGAATCTAATGGGGTGATGGGGGATGATGGGGGAGGTGGGAGGTGGGTGTGCAAGTTAAAATCCCTATCAATTTTCCATATAATTTCTTTCATTGAGCAACCCAGTGGTCTAGTAGATGGAGTTAATCATTTCTCTCTGAAGTGATGAAACTGATTGAATTATTGTGGTTGGAGACTCCTTCCGCTCTTCTTTAGATAAAGTTTTGGATCTGACTGCCGGCTCTCGAGAAGGTTCAGCCACTCGCGCTGGTTTGAAGGAAGGGAGGTCAGTTGTTGATAATGCCGGGAATTAAACAGCGACGATAGCAACTGCGAAAAACACGCCTCATAAATGGAGGGAAGTCAGACAAAACGGTCAAAACAGACGCGACGTTCAAACCGAACCTTGTCGCGATATTACAGCACATCAAAGTGCCGCTGATAAGGACGTTATCCCGTGAAACGAGGTCAGCGGATACACGCAGAATTTATTAGGCCGAGGCTTCATCCGAATCCTATAGTCACGATAAAACTGACAAAAGCTGAAGACGGACGGAGAGAAGTTGATTTCTAAATTACAAGTCTAAATGGGTCATTTCAACCACAAAGGTGGAATCAATTTATGAGATCGATTTTTTTCTTTCCTTTGCCGCATTTATATTTCTTGTGACATTTACTACCTTTCAAAGTTCAACAGCACCGGAGCGGCCTCACATTTCTCAGTCCCACCTCCCCTGTGAACACAGGCCACGGGCGCACGCTGAACGCAGCCCGCAGCCCGCACTGACAGCCACGATGACGGAGTGTGGCAAAGGGTGGATTAATACAAACTGTAATTAGATTATATGTCTTAATCTGATTTTCATTAAGAGGAAAGACTGGATGGCCCTAATTGTGAGGAGAGTATTAAGGACTAATATCTATTAAAACTCAAAATTGGAGTCGGATTGGAAGCCGTCTCTGACAAGTGAAGCATGGAATTAAATTATATGACACTTTATTAGGTGTAATGGAGGGGACTGTGGCTGTGAGCAGAGATCATTTCACTCCGGAAATGAAAATAAAAACAACATGACAGGGGAAAAAAAAGGAGCGGTGTGACTAAATAAAATAAATATGCAATTTGAATTTGCTGTTGCAGTAGAAGTCGTCTGTAGAAGACAAGAGTCACAAAATGTCAAACAACATTCTCACTATGAATTAATCCAAACACTATAATAAAAACTTAGTAGTGATGAACTCTGACGTGCTTCTTTCATTATGATTACAGCATATTTGAAATGCATGTATCACAAACGATCCTTAAGCAGCAGCTACGAAAGCAGAACAAATAAAAGGATTACAAACACGCCATCACTTGAAAGCTTCATTTCTTTCAGCCTTTATAAATTGGACAAGAGTACAGGCTGCTGGTAAACAACAACACCTCGCACTCCACTTGTTGTGTGTACAAACCATGAAAGTGAAATTAATCGACGCCAGTGTTTTCCATAATGGAGAACAAATTAGAATATGGCAGCAACAACAGCAGCGGCACCGGAGCCGTGTACTTCCAATGACAAATAACGAGGGCTTGACATTAATTGTGAAATAACGAGAGTGGCGACGCTGTAACAGAGACTCAGAGACGCCCTCTCACCCGTGTTGCCGGCAGGGAGGGCTGCACGGAAATGAGCTCCTGGTCAGGTGTACAGCAACGGGAGGCTGTTTCAGCGTTGTACGCAGATGGTGGAACATGACAAGAGGTCAGACGGGGGGGCTTCCGTCGGCTGCGGTGGATCGACAAGACGCCATAAGCCGTTTTAAAACACAGAAGACTGTAGTAACGTAATGGTTTTGCCAGGTTCTTTTGTCTAATCAGACAACAACCTGGTAAAAAAAAAAAACACATACGTAGAGGAAGCGGACTACAACCGGGTGAGAAAATCCTTTTCAAGCTGGGGAATTAAGTTACACAATCCGGCCCGGCTCAAACAAAAGTACAGTAAGTGGCTCGGCTATTGTTGAAAATGTGTTTTAGTGTAACGTAGAAAACGCATAGAAAATTGTGTAAAATGTCCATCAGGCAGTGAATGCTCTTCATGGTACATTAGGATCCTGGCCCTACTGATATCCCCCAATAATGAGTGTGATTTAGTGATTTCACGCTTTGTTTGTCCTCCCTGGCCCGCCGCCCCTCTCCGAAGCGCCCCCCCCCCGTACACAGGTGTATTGGCTCAATGTAATGAGATCATTACGAGCCTCGTCAGTAAACGTGTTTATTTGGCAAACGGAGCTGCCTGCTCCTTTTCTCTCTTGATCTGCGTCCAAAGAGGCATTTAACTAAAATAAGCTCCATAGTACAATTGGGCAAACAGAAGTCAATTCAGATCATTACAAGACCTGTGGGTAAAGAGACCTGGTTCCCACAATCCCCATTCCGACACAGCTCAATTTGTGCTGAGAAAAAAAAGAAAAGAAACACAAGAGCAACAGCAAACATTATGGCATTATAAACTGTGACACACAGCGTAAGAATAGGTTGTTATATTCCTAAAGCAATGACTCATTGATGATAAATGATAAATATGCGACACATTTATGTCTGTATATCTACCACTATTTTAATTTAGTGATTTAAGCATCAGAATGCATTGGTTAGTTGTTTGTTGTTTTTATATTTTTGAGGGATGTGTATCGTCCTCAATCTCGTTGCTTCCTAAATTCTACCCGAAGATCATATCTAACCCCCTCCTAACCCTATGGCCCTTGCCGAAATCTCTCCCTATTTTCTATTTAGTGCACTATATTTACCGACAGCAATTGTATTCGAGTGTCAGAATCCAGGGTGTGAAACGCACCACTAGGCGACCCTTAAACGTTCCAACAAAGGAACTGAAGAGTAGCGTTCCAAGCGTGTACACTCATCTTTCTGCAAGACCACTAGATCCACAATCCCTGGAAATGCCTCCCAAAGTTAGCAGAGACACATTTCAAGCTCTGCCTCATGCGTCAAGAGGTCCATACCGATGTACCTACAGAAATAAATAAAAAGCAGGGAGTGATGTGACAAATATGTCGTACCATGAAATTGTAAATACAAAATAACCACGGGGTGCTGCTTACACTGATATTCAACGCTTTGTGTTATTGATTGATTGATTTAAAGGTAAATGTATTGATTTACAGCTGATTAAACAGTAAATAGGTCAGAGACGTTTATGTAGAATGGAGTGTATGAGAGAAGACAGTTCGGTGCGGGTGCACCTGTTCCTGTTCCTGCCCCCTTTGCTTACTCTCTTTCTGACTTTTAAGATCCTCTCTAATTCCCCACTATTAGGCCAAGAGGAGGGAGATGTCACCCCAAAAGTGGGATGTATTGTTAGTAATTACAGCCCAAGGTTGAGATGTTCCAGGCAAGAGCACTGGAGTGGTTCTATTACCCCCGCCTCCCCCCCCCCAGATCCACACACACAGTGCTTCTGACACACGGTCCATGCAGCCTTTTCTAGTACCCACCCACCCTCCTCCCGCTTTCTCTGACCCGCTGTGTCAACCTCCAACTCCCTACACAATCTCTCATCGCGGCCTGCCCCGGTCACCCCGGCTCTCACTGCCCTCACTGTGGCCGGTAAACCTGATAAGCACACACACGCATGAAACACGGATAAACACAGACCCCAGAGGCCTGCTCGTGCACGCGCCTCCCGATCACTGCGGCTTCTTTTTCATCACTGCCATCAAAATCATCACCACCATCATCATCATCATGCAACTTCCATCCCCTCTACATCCGCAGACTGTAAACTCAATAGGTCTATAAACTACTTGACTACACACAATCACCCAGTAGCCTTTCTTTTTTTTTACCTACTGCCTTTAAGCACATATATGTATTCCATCCTCTCTCTAACCACTTCAGTGGTATTATATTAGAGCTGTAATCATTACTGAACCCTTCTGCCCTCCAGCGTAATACTCTTTGCATGTTACACAGGTTTGGGTCTGCAAAGGAAATTCCATCCAAGGTTAATAAAGTTAAATAATTTGACTAACCAACCGTAACTGGTTCTCATTAAGTACCCAATAAACACATTCATCAGAGAGGACATGAAAGGCCTGTTGAGGGGAAAAAATAAAGTAAAACTCCCCTTGGATTTGTCTCAGTGGCTCAGTTCACAAGCCGGAGAAGACGGAGCAGGACGCGTGCCGGCCGCTCCGCCAGCAGACACACACACACACACACACACACACACACACACACACACACACACACACACAAGGAATACTGCCAGACTCCTGAATATAAACACCGATGCACTCTGGATGTCATCTAAACCACACACAGCCACTCAGAGATGCTCAGTGACACAGGCACCGCATGCCACCCTCACCAGGAACATCTTTTTATCCATCTAATTCCTCCCACTATGAATAATGCATTTGCCTCCTTGCCGAGGCGCGGGTTTAACGCATCGCTGCGCGGGTCTTTAAGGGGGTCCTTATTCATAAACAGCGGCGCAGTAAATACCAGAGCTTTGCAGCCAATTTAATGGCAGTTATGCTTAACAAATCTGCCTCAATCTAATGATCAACCACAAAGCTAGGCTAGAGGTTTAATCTGCACACAGAGGCTCCCCCAGCTCTGCGACTCACTGAATATGCTAAAGGATCTCTCCATCCAGAGAGAGGAGAGCACCGGCCCGACACCTAATCCTCACAACACAACACCGGGATCAACAAAAACATAGAACAATGTTCTACTCAATGAACTCACTCATGAATAAGAATAGCATTCAAAGTCCTAAAACACTGCCGGGACGACGCATTGAGATACTGAAACATTATTAAAAAAAAAGCTCCTTTCCAAATCCTCCACGGTCTCTTCTGCTTCTTATTCCAGCACTGACCCGGAGCCTAAGCCGCAGTACTGTGTGGCATCTAGTGCGTGCATTTAGATTGAGTAGACCTTTGCAAACTGCAGGTATTGCACCACGACAAGCCGCTGTATGAAAAGGGCCCATCAAATTCTAAACGTGTTTAGATAAAATACAACACTCAGAATGTAGAGTAATAGAAGTTTTGAGGAGCCTCAGCGATACAAAATGTAACAGTCATTATTAAAATGGGAAATTGTCCCTAAATGTAGTTTTTTTCTGCCATACGTCAGATATGCAGTACTGTGATTGATATAGACATTGAAAATGGTTGTGTCAACATGAATATTTTACTTAAGTGAGACAGAGGGTCAATCTGTTATTTCTGACCACTATTCAACATACGTTATGCTGACAACATGGCACCTGCAGTAAGAGCTTAAGACAGATGCTGCTCCCCAAGTAGGGGGACACATCTATATGTAGGTATAGGTCCCAAAGGGCAAAGATGACTGCATGTGCAAGGAGAGCACAAAACAAATGTAGCCATGCATCGACGGAGGAATAAATATTTAGGAGACGCTAAACACAGGTTTCAATTTAAAAGAAAAGTGAGGGAAAATGAACAATACCAATTTTAGATTTAAAATAAAAAATAAAACTATTCAAAGTGCAATTAATCTTACATAAAAAAGAGTATTTTGCGTGCCAGGGGTATTATGACAATGGCCCTTTAAGGACAACTGCTGCATGGACCCCAGTAAATAGGAGTTGATAGGAGGGGAATTAGAGCCAGAGCAGGAGTGTGTAATGGGGATGGATAGGAGGCTCAGGCCGGGGTCAAAGCCGCTTAGGAATCAATGCGGAGGTACAGGTGTACAACCACAGGTCTATAAGAGTAACCAAACCTTTAGAGGGAAGGGGGAGAGAAGGAGAGAGGTAGACAGAAAAAGGAGGAAACTGGGATCATTCATTTACATTATCACAATTAAAAACATCGTTGAAGGTGCTACTGGTTTTTAATTTACAAAAGAAAGCAGAGAGAGCGAGACTAATGCAGGAGGGATCACGCCAGCGAGACAAACCGCATTACTGTCTCGCCTCCCAGCACCGTAGCAAGGAGCCTCAGAGGCGGTCATTGGGACACTTCATGCATAAATAACCTCATATATGTGCATTTCATGTTCACATGCATTAAGAACTGAATCAAAGAGCTCAAATATAATTTTGATTAATGAAATAATATCTCACCATTAGTAATAAAAATGTCACATTTGCTGTGGGGGAAATAAGGACTGAGGAAAATGGAAATAGGCTTGACACTTGGATTAAAACACTATTGATGCCATTAAAATGCTAAGTGGGTCCAACCAATTGGCATAACCACATTTTACTAGTGGAATGTCAAAGGAGCACACGAGTAGTAGCAATTACGATTAGAATAGTGTTAATTATGGGGGCTGCATATTTAATATGTGTTAGAGTGAAACAAAGGTTATGTTAATATGGGTTTATTAAGCATTCACACACTATAAAAATGTCTGTGTGTTGTAGCTATTTGATGCTTTCTTTGAGAAAAGCTGCTTTTTTCAGACAAACAAATTTTCATGAATTAAATACATCTCAAAAAATCTTAAATATGGATTATCTTTTTCATTAAATACTTTTTAAAACTAAGGCAAAAAACTGGCACATGTGAAGCACTTAATATGAAGCGCTTTTAATACGGCAACAGCAACAACTGTTCATGGACCTCCTGTGCCCTCTTGTGGTGAAAACTAATTACAGTTTTACATTCATTTTTCATCCTATTTTAACAGAAAGCCAAATCATTTTGTTTCATTTCAAAATCCCAAATATTTGAGAAAGTACTTAATAGTGTTACATGGACAGTGTGTCTTTACCTGTTCCCTTCTCAAATCATTCTCTAGGAATGAAGTTAGAATTATCTTTTTTATGTCAAATTTAAACATGTACCTTTTAGATTTGATGTGGGGCAGTTATTATTAGGAGGGGGGGTTCTGGGGGGTATTACACCCTCAAAAGAAGAAAAAAAAAAGTCTTTCACGCAACATTACGCCAGAAGGTATTGCCATAGTCATTAGTGTAAAAGTTAAATCAAGAATTCAAGAACGTATTGTGGACAGTAGCATTAGAATATGTATTACTTCTGTATGTCTCCTTGAACATACATTAATACAGATAGAGGGATAGATGGAAGGTCAGGAAGGCATTTAGGTTCACAAGCTCAGAGTTGGTCCCCCGGCAGCGGTTAATCTACACTACACTGCTGCATATTGTTATACACACAGCAATTACACTGCTGTGACTTTCCTTGGGACAAAGAATTTGAATATAAAGACAATTAACAATTTTATGTTTATTTGATTTCCCTCTTGCTGTCATTATCTAGGCCGAACAAAGCAGCAAGTCTGAATAAATGGCCACTACTTGTGCTAATACAAACTAAAGTAATAAGGGAAATACATTTGTTTCCAGACCATTATATAGTGAGCAATGCATTTGCTGGGTGCAAATGAACACCATTCATTACAGTTAACAATGGCATCGAATTCAGCCCAGCTAATGAACTTCAATACAATCATGTTCAGTATTAACAAGTGATTTGTTGAGTCTAAGTGTATCATTTTGGAGGCTAATATTGATGAATGCCTGGTCGTGGAGAGATGGGGACACGCAGGGAGCAGAGAGGCTCTCGTCAAACGCCCTTCTGCTGCAGTGTAATACCACCACCACCTAGTGGTGTCGTCATGGAAACACACTTTACTACACTGATGTTTTTTTAGTATAGCTAAATGTTTTACGAAACTCACCAATGCCAGAGTTTCCCCCAGTAATGAGGACAACCTTGTCGGAGAAATCACGGCCCTGCAGGATCTCAAGAGCTGCAGTGTTTCCATCATAGCGTTTTGGCTTCAGCACCACGTCCTCCACTGTAAAGGCCTGCCGCGGATCAAAGTAGGTGGTCCGCTTGTTTATGTGGCTGGAAATTACACAGAATATAAGTTGTTATAATAAAGAGTTTATACATTATTTGGACCGTTTGGTATATTCTGTACGGCCATAAAAAGCTTTTTTTTCATTTTTTAAGCAAAGAGTCATGAAACTACTTACTCAACATAAATCATCTGTCCTTTTTCGTCAGTTTCTTGCTCCCAGCCGTACGGTAAATCTGTGGGAAAAGACAAACGCAATTTTTATTTAACAGCCAAAATACAGAAGTACAAAATTGGTATTTTTGCCGCTGGTGATAGTTACTTAAGAAGAACAATAAAGTCGGTGAAAAAGACGACACACGTCCACTAAATCCAATAGTTGTAAAGAAATTGTTAGAACACCATTAAATACAACGCCAGTTTGAATATATTCCCATACGACTTGCATTTACTGGCCCTCGCACAGATATTAAGACCCTTAAAACAAGTGAATAAACAAACCTCCAGCACAACGTTTTTTCTTTCCGGTCTTCGGATGTTCCCACTGTGTCTTCATCTCATCGTGGCTGGTACACAAAAACAATAAATAAACAAGTTTGAAAAACGTACCCAACCTTCTACGTCTCCATACGTGTCATTTATATATCTAACGTTATATACTAAGGACACTCAAATCCAGCCTAAAAGATTACTTCTGAATCAACGTTATAGATTACAAAAAAAGACACATTGCTATCCAAGGACACTAATTCATATGAAAAAATCAAAACAGAGCATGATATGTCAAGTCTGTTCGTGGCAGACATTGGTGTAAAAGCTAGATCAAATGTAAATACCAAAGTGCCACTGAAGTTCTTTTAAAACCCGTATTTCATACTCGCTGCGTTCTCCGTGTCCCCGTCATCAACCCGGAGCACTGCTCCACCTTTTCAATTCAAAGTATAACTCTACCAGGAAGTTTTGCCTCTCACTTTACAACCTGTGAGCTACAGTTCTACAGCCTACTGCAAAAATATCGTTCTTTTGAAACACCTGACTTGGGAACATTCACCCGGGACCTCCAATAATCTGCGCTCATTGCCGTCTTATTCCGCGTACAGTGTTTCTAACCTGCTGCATCGTCAGCTAAACCAGCGTTGTTAGCAGCCGGCTGATAACAACGATGCGTACATCTGGTCGTGAACAAACCTAAAGCCCCAACTACATAAAGGTGTATTTATGGTGACATGCGACGGAGGAAGGATCGCCCTCACCTTGCATAGTAGACCCATCCATCCTTCGTAGACCTCTCCTCCCATCCGGGGGGCAACTCGTCCTCACTGTCTGTATCGTCCATACCTGCGAATTTTAGAGCTGCCATAACAGACGTTTATTCGAGCAAACGACGGCCCTACAAACACAAGACCTGTCAAGAATGTCTGCTCTGAAACAAACAGAAAATTAATGTCACTGTGTCCGAGCAGAGAATCACCAGCACAGCGTTTCACTGGCACTTCCGCAATAACACGCGGTGACGCCGGCCGAAAGGGATTATGGGACATGGAGGCTGACGAAACGCACGCCGAGCGGCCTTTGGTTATTTCAGCCTCCCTCGCAATTTAAAAGATATGACCGTATTAGTTTCAAGCAGGGGTCAGATATACGTTATTTGTATATTTAGAATCTACACAGTGCGTAATGATATTCAATGATATTAAAGGCAGTTTTGCTGTTTGGATTGTAGAGACCAAATGTCTAAACCGTGTCAAACCCATCAGAAGCGCACCACCAGTGACCAAACACAAGCCAGGCGCCTTACCACCTGCAAATGGATCACATAAAAACAGTGCTCGATGTAGGAGAAATTTGGATTTACAGGAATTGACAGCCCCGCCCTAAAATTCTAGAATGAATAAGAATAATCTAGAATGCTTTCAAAATGTAAACACTGGGTAAGTGGTTCCAGTTTGTAGAAATATAGAATATTTTATACAACACGAATATTTGACAATTTAAATTATTCTTTAAAAAAAAGTGTACTTCTCAAAATAAGGTAGAACTACCTGCCATGGTGTTAGGTCACCTGGAATTTCTACCTGCCACACCCAACATTCCTCCAGTATTTGGCAGGAGCTAATTCAGTTTCCTGCTGCGATAACAGACTTATGCCGTTGTGACGTTATTATATACAAAGAGGCTTTATCCAGCCTTGTAGCTCGCTACTTGCGCCCTAACAAATTGTAAATAGTGGTAGCATTGTTTTCCGTAACCAGAGTGATGCTATTCTGTACACCTGGCTTCTTCCTTCCCTTTTACTTGTGTGAGTTCTGTTTGTGAGGGTGGTAATTCAACACCTGGTTGGAGTAAGCAGTTTCTGCTATTACTGCAAAGGGAGGGGATAGTGGTTTGTATGCTGGCTAGTTGATTACTTTGAGCAAAACTTGTAATATGAAACACTTCCCTGCTTTATTGACTGACTTTGAAGAATCTGCTGACGCATGTTTAACCAGGCACCTAGTTGTGTATAATTGGCCGAAAAGATGCTTACTTTCTTCCTCCACATTGCAAGCAGAATCTGACATTTCCTCCAGCTTCAGCTTTCCTTTTCAGAGAATCGCCTTCCTTTGGCTCGTACCTACCTCTCCAGAAATGTGGAGCAGAGGTCAAGTTGCTGATTAACTGAAACATGAGGATCTTGCTCTTATCTGGCGGTCTTCAAAAGGATGGCACAGTCACAAGAATGTATGATGTTACAGATTGTGCAAATGATGACTCTCACGCTCAATGGGAAGTGTTGTCAAAAGAAAAGTTGCATGTTTCTAAAGCAACTAGCTGTTCAATGTCTTCGAATGGTAAGTACTAAGTACCGTACTTATTCTGCATGTATTTATAACACTTGATACTTCTACTTTATTACATTTGATTTCAGAGGGTTGCTTGTTTTAAATACATGCAGCTGCAATTACTAGCTACGACGTTACAATTTAATTTAAAAACCAAAATGTAAAGATATTGAATGTTTCGTTTTAATTTTCCAACATGTGGTATTGCTTTTACTTAAGTAAACGAATGAACATTTCCATCTCTGGCCAATACGCTAGCGATGCGTACAGTATTTGGCTTCATACAGAAGTACTTCATTAAACCCCTTCTTGTCAAACTTAATATTAAGAAGATAATATATACATAAGAAATGTATGTTTCACTTTTCACAAAGACCATTAAGCTTCAATCCAGAAGTATAGGAGATGAGATAGAAAGCCTGTATTTATGTAAACATTGAAGATTTGGGGTCCACACGAGGTTGGTAGTGTATACATGTGGTTCCAATGGGATATTAAGAGAACAATAAACCATCCAATTTAATGACATTACTTCTCTGATGGCTGTGTCCACGGCGCATGCCCTTCAGCAGGAGAAGGGGGAGGGGCTATCGGGGGAGCCTAGGGGGAGGGGCTAGGAGGTGGGCCGACCAACTGTAGGCAAGTGTGTGTGTGTGTTGTGTGTCCGTCTCAGCGTAGCACGAAATGTGTCTCCTCGCAGCAAAGACACAGAGTAACGGGAGACGTGCTGGTCAACCGCTCTTTTTAAAATATTGAAAGCGTTTGTTTTTGCCGCGCTGAGACTGTGTCAATATTATACTCTGTATATTAAAACATTCCGCCTGTAAAACGCAATATTCATTAGAGCTGCTGACTTCGTTTCTACCAAAGAGTGTCCGCTTCCCCTCCCCTCGATGAAGCGCTGCGATGCCCTCTGATTTCGTATCCCTCCTTAGCTCGGATCTCGACCTGAATTCCCCCAAATCTCTATACTCAAAAGGTAAGACCTTACTAAATGCACGTTATCATTTAGACAACCGACCCGGTCGTCCTTGGTTAGCTTGAAGTGTTGTGAACGTCTGGGTTTCTCCCGTTAAGCTGCTAGCTAGCTGTAGTTAGCTTCTTTTCTGCCGTTAGCCGACCTAGCTAGCTAGCCATTCAGCCAGCTAGCCGCATTTGGCTCGAGCACCGAGGGTGTACCTGGTTGGCTAGCTGTCCGTGTCACATGCGTGGAAGTCCACGATACGTTCGGCCGCTGGTCTAAATATAACCGCCATACATGACATCCTATCGACGTGTGTCGTTTTGCCACGAATTAGTGGTCTCATCCGATGGCAAGCGTTGGTTTGGGTACGTAGTGCTCGTTAGCCAACCGATACGCGGGGTCACTTTGCACTCACCACATCGCCCATTGGCGTTTTTTAAATAACGTTAATGAACTAGTTAAAGGTCTGCTTTTAACTAGTACGCGGAGGCGTGTGTGCGTGCTTGGATCGCGAGAAGATGTAGTACACGCATGCCTTTTTTGTGTGTGTCTCCTCCTTGTTGAGTTCGGTCGGGCCACCGTTTCTCTGGCTTAACACAATGTGTGGAACCGAGCCAGAGTTGTCCTCCTCCTCGTATTCTCTCGTTTCACAGAAAGAATGCTTTTTGAAAGGCGCACACACACAAGTTCAGGACATGCCAGCGTCCACATCTAATCTATAATACCCTTTGGACACATGTCAGCCGGCTGTTGTTTTATTTTTAGGAGGGTGTTGCTGCATCCATTAGGAGCTGGACCGTTAACTCATGGCTGTCAGCCGGGTTGGTGGATTTGTTCCGGCTTTCAGCAGCACATTCACTTCACGTGTGTGGAAACTGTCATCGCCTTATTGTGTATTCATAAGCCTGTGTTGTTGTGGTTGTTGTTTTTTTGTACTGCTCTGGACCTGAGATGTAGGGCAGGACACCGATGCACAGCGGTACCTTGTTTTCCATGTAGTCCACCTTTTTTTAGTGGTTCGCAAATAGCATTTACCTGCCAGCTGTTGGACCCGCTGTCGTCACATCTGTCCAGCTGCTACGTATAGGGCACATACGAGCTACCGAAAACCCCTGCTGAATGACCCTGAAATGCTCAGTTGAGCCTGCCATATGGTCACAGTGTCTCACATGACAACTGTTTATTTATATCCCCGCAATCAAGGTAGCAGACGTGCTCATCAACAGGCCACAAGTAAACCAGCCTGTAAGGGAGGGGAGATGTGGCAGGGCAAATGAGGTGAAACCTAAGGGGGGAAAGTGAAACTGGATGATGATAATAATAAGCAATGTTGTAATATCATTCAATATTCACATGTCAGGGCTTTTATTTGCCCACTGTGCCTCTGGGAACCACCTCCAGGATTTGTGTAGTCTTACATCTGTGTGACAGACGAAATTACATTGATTTAGCGTTGATTGTGTGTCAGCAGAAAGAGGAGCGGCCAAACCATATACAATTCAAAAGATAATTGCAATACACTTAACCAATTGCAGAAATGACAGCCACACAACATATGTCTTTAAAACAACCATTTGTAAAATATTATAAACAATGAAACATGAAATCCGAGCTCATTTTGGTTCTGTTGTTGTTTATTTGTGCTTGAATTGAATGTATTCATTTTAGTGCATGCATCCATTACGCGTCATTTACTGTCAGTCACCTGAGACCTATGAGTGGAGGTGAAAGTGCCCCAGGAAATAATCCTTTCAAAGCCCGCTGCCTCAAGACTTTTAATGACGTACCCTTATCTATTTGTTTATTCACTGCATGTTGTGTAAGCTAGCCAAGTGGTTAGTTCAGGCTAGGTTGAGTCTCACAAAGCGTGCGTTTTATAAAGATCAAGATATGTCTGGCATGCCTCGCTGTAGCATTTACGAAAATGTGAACTAGATGTTCATAGTGGTAATTGGGTTACATCTTAATCTGGTTTATCGGCTCTGCGTAAGTAGTCGCACGGAGAACCAAATGCAGTATGTAGCCTTTCATTGCCAGTTTAATTCAGTGTCCAGGTAAACAGAGATGGTGTAAAGCTCCCAAAAAGCCCTCCTTGGTATCGTTGTGCATTCAGGAGTGTAATTAAGAAAGCCTCTTTTCGGCACTGAAAGAAATTCTCGGCCTGAGTGTTTTTGTTTTTTTCAATTGCAACAAAAACATAACCACCGTGTATTGTCTACTCATCTGTCACCCTCCTTCCTGTCTGAGCCCCAAGCCAGCTGCAAAGAATTAAAATGGACTGGTGACCTTGCCATTTGGCTAAATCTTAAGGCATGTGTAATGTGAGCAGAACACAACTTTTAGATGAGGTCATTTAATTGTTCTAAGCGTTTGTTGGAATCCGTCTGCCCCCTGGCAAGCTGGTGTGCTGCAGCCTACCTTTTTGGCCATATTCGGTAAAGCCTTTGGAGCTCTGCACATAAACCGTGCAGTCATCTGACTTCTATAAAAGCAAAGGAAATCACAGTAAAGTATACAATTGGGAACAGTGAGAAGTTAAACTTTATATTTATCTTCAAATGAGATAAACAATGCACATATGCGGGACTGGTAGCCTTTATTCTGTGCACGAGTAAGATACGGTAAACAAAGGGACTTTTTAATATTGATGGGAAGCGAGTCCCAAACGTAATTTGACACATTGTGTACAAACACTTTTTGTCTACTGCTTACTCCCGGACCAGTCTGGAACATCAGTGGATTCGTGTGCCAGACTGTTCAGCTCAGTGAACTGGCCTTGCTGCTATCTTTTATTATTATGTAATATAATCCAGTTATGGTTGACCGGAATATATATGGGAAAAACAGAGTCAAATTACGCACACACGGCCAATAAAGCCGGGCGCGTTGAACGTGCACTTCCCGCTGGGCTCGGACCATACTCACATCTCCTGTGTGAATGGGTTAGTAGTCAAGACTGAGGTCAGTCGGTCTGTAATGCACTAAGTCTCCGCCTCTTCTTAACATGAACACAGAAGACGCAGATGGAGGATTATCACAGGGACCGTGTCCACTTTGCTATTAGTGTAAATACACCGTCCCGGTTTGTCTATTTTACGGGGTTGGTTTATTCAAACACTGTCTGTAGGTGTCCTTTTGAAAGTGTCACTGAGCCATGTTTTACAGGCCACTCCTCGCTGCAAGATTTGTGGATTAGACGTTTGCAACTCTTTCTATATTTGGACAGAAACCTTGCTGAGGGGTTTTTCAAATAAAATGTCTTAAGAGTGCTGCCATTCAGCTCTATACCTGCAAGAAACCTGCATTCAAATATTTATTTGCATTTACATGTTTCTACATGCAGTGTTGGAAAGATGTTGTTCTGATTTGATGTTATAAGAAAAGCACCTAAGTGACAGTCTGCCTTCACTCAAAGTACAATATTCCACAGTTAGTTGCGGTTTTACTGGTTTCCAGATCCGAGTGAAGATCAAGTTGTGCAGATTATATTGTGGAACTATTTGTGGATAACCTGTAAGAGATAAACTGTCATATTTTTAGCAAGAAAGTAAGTTGTTTTCACCAACTTGTACATGGGGAAATTGCATTAATAAATCTATCTAATGGATAAAGAACGGAACATGAAGCTGGCGTCTGTCTCGGTGATTTTGGTTTTGCCTGCCTGCGTGAACCAGAGTGCCGTGTGTCTCTTTGTGTAAACGGGCGGTTTTGTGTTGTCACTCCCTCAACAGCGCTGTCACAGAAGCGGCAGATCATGTGTCTTGACAGTTTCACCATTCTGCTGGTGCTAGGTCATAGCTGAGTATCAGATGACTACTACACATGCCGGGTGCTGCCAAAGCACAGCTGAAATACCCGTGGCAGGGTGTTGATGGGTGCCTGTTGCTTAGCAACCAAACTACCCAAGCATGTGTTTGTCTGCCCTCAAGTGCAGTTCATTCCAGTGTAGCTGCAGGGGTTGGTAATACGCTTCTAGGAATCATGTTGATATTCAATATCAAAAAGACTGTCTCTGTGGGGGTGAAGTAAGCTAAGCTCACGTCAGGCTTATTTATTTAGTTCATGTTAAGGCCTGTGATGTGTTGCCGTTGACTGATGACATTTTTGGTTTACGTTGGAAAAAGTGATCATGAGACCGGAGGTTTGCTTTCCCTCCAGTTCAAGGACTGGTCGCTCTGTTGGGTCGCTCTGTTTTAAGTTCAGCTCAGTCTGCCATTAGCGCTTAGCTATTAGCGATAAGTTCAGTAGGGTTCAGATTTTGGCGAATCGTAATTCCTTTAATTATGTCTACTTTGTGACAGTAAAAGCAGATACCCGTCTGTCGTTATTTTATTTTTTAAAGGTGAATAATTCATCATAATATTTGTACAGTTCTGAATTTCTGAACAGGCTTAAAACCGAACCTCTGAACTCACGAAAGAAGAGAGAACAGTGAAGAGTGGAAAAACCTTGTTTGGTCCTGTTATAAACAGCGATCTGATTTGTGTTGTTTGTTTTTTTTTAAGCGCCTAATTTGTCTTCTCCTGGTCGTCCTATGTTAGAGTCGGTTTATGACCTCCTCCCCAAAGAGCTTCAGCTGCAGCCGCCGTCCACTCAGACAGACCCACCCACCATGAGCCAGAAGAGTGGGGGAGAAGCGGCCGCCCCCCCCTCCGCAGCCTTGGCTTCAGGTGAGCTCCCCGCTTAGTTCAAGACGACAGTGATTGGGGATCACTCCCCCCCCCGGCCCAACTTTTCCCCCAAGACAGCGGTGGTGGAGAAGCTCAGATGGGCTTGTCCCAATGTCCTGGGGCATCTTCACCAGTCCCTGAGACAATATTTGTGACTTTTTGAGAGTATAATAAGATAGCAAAGTATTTATATTTCAGCACAATCACTAATATTGTTAAAAAAATAAAGCTGGGGCATAGTAGATGTCACATGGTGACATCATGGGTTTTGCTGGTTCCATGAGGTTAGTGTTGAACATGATTTTTCCAGTTGGACTTTGTGTAACTTTGTATGAATATATTTGGGACTCCTTAAGCTGTGTTAAAGGAACCACCAATTAGCGAGGATCTTGTTTGGTTAGTTTTGTCTGTTGGCGTGTTTGACACCTCGGTGTTGGGGGAACTTTCTTTTTAAATCCTAGCAGCGTCATTGGAGGAGGCAGGGCTTCACCTCGACTGTATGTTGGGAACCGCAACACAGACCTGCAGCTCTTTGGCTAAGCAGTAGACTTCAGAGAAATGAGAAGTGGAAAAGAAACGGGCTGAGTGTAGCTTCAGACCAACTTCTAAACTCTGTTATTTAACCTACCTTTACCTTGCTATTGGTACTGACTGTACTATAAGAATAGTAATGGCTTCTGTGCAATAAGAGGAATACAGTATTTTCCTGTATTATATCTCCAAGTAATCATGACTGTTTATTAATGGCATGCTAACAAAGCTTGTTCTTTCTTATTCACTCATTTTTTCAGCAGCACTTTGTTTCCACTGTGATGCTTGTGCCAAATGCTTTTGTTTCATTCTGCTTACTGAGCAGCAAAAAAAGAAAAATGATATTCAGTTACACTCAGCGTAACCAATGCTGCCCATCCATATGTTTTCTTTTGGCTTAAGCAGTCATCTCAGACATCCCACATGTTAGGCTATTGTGGTGCTCCACAGTCTTTGTATTAGCACTTATTAATCTTCATCGGGTCATTAAATATTGGAACAATTGCCCGAAAGAGAAACCGCCTGTGCACATTTTTACTTTGATGCACATTGTCATCCCTACAAACTCTTTTACATGCTCATACATCAGTAGGTCATGGACAATTCCATCAGGTTCTCAAACCCGTGGAGCTTTGCAGCTAAATGATTCATCCACTCTCATGTTACAAATCACTTGACACTGTCAGTAGTTATGAATGCTCTGTCTCTTCAGTCTTTTTAGTCTTCTGAAACTAGCAGGCATTGGGCTGTTTTTAAATGTCCTTCTCCAAAGGAAAGCTGTTCAGGGCGGCCAACATCAGCTGAACTCTGAAGGATTTAAGTGTTGAGGTTTTTTTTTGAGAGCAAATTAACTGGTCAACAGTATGGAAGAGAGCACTTTTGTTAATGCAACCTTTTAACTCCGCTGTCTGACCAGCTGGCCCTAAGCCGTGCTGATCTAAAGCATGACTACTGTAATGTCCGTCGGATCATTATTAACCAAATCCACATGCTTCAAGATGTCTATAAATGATCAACTTCAAAAGTTACTCCTTCTCCAGTATATAAACTCATCCAATTTACTGATTGACAGAAGTTGAATCTTGAATGATCAGCTCTCTTGTTGCTCATTGGCTGTCTCGTTTTTATTGCAGGAAGTTCCCTCTGAGGCAGGGAGTGTCTGCATATAAAATGGTCTGCAGTTCACTGCTCCATAGGTCAGAGGCTTGTTTATTCTGTCTCCATGGCTACGCTCAGTCCCAACCAAATCTTCCAATTGGCATGCGCAAACTACTGTTTACTACTGAATGCACATTGCACAAACTGTACTATAACCCTGCCAAATTATAATTGATGCTACATTACCAGCTTGCAAAATTGGCTGTACAGAGTTTGACCAGATTTTGTTATGTTTCTTTCTGGCAATGTGTATGTAACAATTTGTAGCTTGCTTTTGTTTTTGTAAACAAAGCATGTCAGTTTTGTCACGTTGGTTTTAATTAAGAAAGGTTTTTTGTAGGAATCAACATTTTGGGACCTATAGTACCCTTCTCAACTTTAACTTCAGAACAGTGGATCAATTCTTGACAGATCTCCCATGCAAAGTGAGAGCATATCACCCACAACAGCCTGTTGAAATTAGAGTTGGGAAGAGGGGAAATCAATACAAATCATGCACAAATTCAGCTGCTTGAATGGGACTGCTAGCCTGCACATGCCAAGCGTCTGTGCTAACTTATTTATCCGTATATACTACTACAGATGCCACCTCTTCCACCTCAAGCCCCTCTGCCTCCTCGTCTCTGTCCATGGGAGCCCCATCCAATGGCTCTTCTACCTCGTCCTCAGACCACCTCAAGGGTCCCCAGCATCTCCACTCCACCGGAGGGGATGGAGCTGGAGCTGCCGAGGTTCAAGGTATGGAGGGGGCATTATCCGCCCCCGGCAGAGGAAACGGCGGAGGAAACACCGCAGCAGGAGACATAGGGTCGGGAGTGTTGTCAGGGCAAGGGGTCCAGCAGCCTCAGAACACCCCCTCAAAGCGGAGGCCTGTGCTCAGCATCTCGCCGCCACCCGAGGACCTGTTCGACGACAGCCAGATGTCCAGCCAAGACGAGCCTGCCGTGTCTGCCCCCACGGGCCCGGACTCCGAGCACAGCAGCAGCATGTGGGCCGACGACTCCGTCTCCAACTTTAGCCTGAACAGCTCCGTCTCCTACAACGACAACACAGAGGTGCCACGAAAGTCTAGGAAACGCACTCCTCGCCAGCGGCCCGGGCCCAAGCCGGCTCCTCCGGAGGACAGCATGGATGTGTTTGACGCTGACAGCGCCAAGGCCCCTCACTTTGTCCTTTCCCAGCTGGGCACGGACAAGAACAGTCCCATAGCGAGGTGCGGTGACCCTTATCCAATGCAGTACTTGTCCACTCACGCTCTCTGTCCCACTGTAGGAAAGCAATGAATGTTAATTCATGTTGTCAAGTCCTATTCATGTTATCAAGTGATTTCTTTGTTTGTTTTGTTTTTTTCACCCTGCAGCTCTCTGGAGTCAGGACCTGCACTGAAGGGCGGGTCGCTGTCTACTCAGTACCCCGCGAGGGGTGATGGGAAAGAGCTAAAGATCCTGGTCCAGCCAGAGACGCAGCACAGAGCTCGCTACTTGACGGAGGGCAGCAGGGGTTCTGTCAAAGACCGCACGCAGCAGGGATTCCCCACTGTCAAGGTTTGACACAGATGGCTTCTCGACACTGGAAGTGTGTGAATAACGCCCCAAACACACAGGGCACGGGGTGTGGCGTGCTGCGCTCCGCAAGAGAATGTGCATGCCAGTTCAGACACATCAGAAGCATTCACCCGTGGAATTATACTACAAAAGCTTTATTTGTCTCCCAACGGATAGCTTGCTGTTTCCTGTGTGCTATAGTGACTTTACCTGTTACTGATACATCCAGCCGGGGAAGTAAATGGAATGGCACTTGTTTTTAGCACCTCCCAGCTGCAAGTGCGTGCGTGTATGTGTGCGTGTGTAAATCCAAGGCGCTCAATAGAACGATCCTGAAATGTATCCGCTTACATCTAGTGAGGAAGTTACAAGTTGGACGTTTTTGAACAAAGGACAAAGGTTCTTCTTTTGGGATATAACCAAAAATTTCCTCCGCTCTCTGCTGTGTATTTCACTTGTATACTTTTGTGAGATCCATGCAAAGAGACAGCACTCCCTTAGCGGCCACATAAAGAATGCATGTCTGTTCATCGGGTTTAAAACTTTGGGTTTAATTATTTAATGGCCATCTGATTTCTCTTGTTAGCGAGGGTCAATTCAGGTTATTAACAGGACACTCCTATGTTTCTGTCCCCAGTTGGAAGGTATGAGTGAACCAGTTGTGCTGCAGGTGTTTGTAGCCAACGATGCAGGCAGAGTGAAGCCGCATGGCTTCTACCAGGCATGCAGAGTGACGGGACGCAACACCACAGCCTGCAAGGAGGTGGACATAGAGGGCACCACGGTCATAGAGATTCCTCTGGAGCCCAGCCATGACATGACGCTCGCGTAAGGGATTATTTTTGGCGGCTAATCCCTTGCAGTTTGTACGTGGTGTTTCAGCAGTTCTTAAGTGTGTTATGGATTCCTCACTGTTTCCACAGGGTGGATCGAGTGGGAATTTTGAAGCTGCGTAACGCAGATGTCGAGGCCCGTATCGGCGTGGCGGGCTCCAAGAAGAAGAGCACACGAGCCAGACTGGCCTTCAGAGTCAACATCTCGCAACCTGACGGATCAGTTCTTACTCTGCAGGTCGCCTCATCGCCCATCCTCTGCAGTGAGTGGTTAAAGCACAGTACGGATGGAAGTATTCTGCAGACATCTGTTTAAAGCTACAAGCTACCAGGCGTCATGAGGCTAAATGCCACGGGGATGTTGTGTCTCCACTGGCGCGTGGTGATCTTCTGTTCGTGAAGCACAGCGTTAAGGGGGATGACCATAGCGCAATGGGTCTTGACTGTGGAACCTTCTTTTTCTGGTAAACACAGACCCAGATGTCATGTGAGTTTTAAACAATTGAGTCTTGTGTTGTTCTCCAGCCCAGCCAGCAGGAGTTCCAGAGATCCTGAAGAAGAGTCTTCACAGCGGCTCAGTGACCGGAGGAGAGGAACTTTTTATCATCGGAAAGAACTTCCTCAAAGGAACCAAAGTTATTTTTCAGGAGAATATTTCAGGTGCTGTAGCCACCTATGGGTTGTCAGTGTTCTGCATGTCAACCTCTGATGAAAGGAGATGGAAATAATGTTTTGTTCTAATTGCAGATGATAATTCCTGGCAGGCCGAGGCAAAGATTGACATGGACCTTTTTCATCAGGTAAATGCAGCTGAATAAATATAAGCTGCAGTATCAAACCTCACTGCTTTCACTGACCGTACTCTTGATGAGACTTTACTGAATTTGTCATGGATGATTTTCAGAACCATCTGATAGTGACGGTCCCACCGTTCCACAACCAGTCAGTCACTTCTCCTATTTCTGTGGGAATCTTTGTGATGACCAATGCTGGTAAATCACATGACGCCCAGCCCTTCACCTATACTCCAGACTCAGGTACAGGCACCACTGAATTGTATGCCAATCCTATTTTTAAGATTCCTTTACCATATTATTATATGAGGAAACAGATGCTACTTGCATTGGCTGTATAAATCACAATCAGCAGATGACAAGTGTCTATTGACTTTTTCGGAGAAACTCAAATCATTAGACGACATTGTAAGGGCTTGGTCCTTTCTCAGACACACACACGCGCACACACACACACACACACACACACACACACAGCTCACGGCTATCCTGTGTTTCCTCTCTTACACGCAGCGGATAACTCAAATGTCCAGACAGTAAAAACAGAGGGGCCTTCCATGGCCGAGACGTGTATATTTGATGGACAGGTCCAACCTCTATCATCCGAGCAAACTGACAGTCCTCCTGCGCCTTCTAAACGGCAAGAGGACACACCGATGGAAGTGTCGAGTAATCCACCGTGCACGGATGTCTTTAAGGTAAGATCACATTTCATTCTCATAGAAAAAGGGTAATCAAAATATCTCCTGATAACTAGCGCAGTTTTGATCATCTTTGTCTCCTCTCTTAGCCATCCTCTGACCCGCATGTCACGGTGCAGCAGACTCTGGAGCTCAGCTCGAGTTCTCATCCCGGTGGGGAGTCCTTCCAGAGCTCGATGCCCCTACAACCTGAAGATGTAGAGCTTGCCCAGGCGCCCCCTGTCTTCCCAAGCCTAGAGTCTCTCAGCACCATACAAAAGCAGGATATTGCCCCCACAACCTCGTTTCCAGTGCAGGGCGACACCACAATCCCCCCCGTGACACCAGAAGTCCCCCAGCAATTCCTCCGAGATCCTCAGGACAGCATACCTCCTGAGAGTCCCAATAGTGGTAGAGGGGTGGTGGTTGTGGCCATGTCCCAGATAGTGACTCCCTCTCAGGCCCAGCCGCAACAGTCCCAGGTTCCCCTGTTCCCCCAGGAAGAGGTGGCCCAGCTGGAGAGGGCAGTCAGGGAGCTACAGGCTGGAGGGAACACCACCCTCCAGCAGGTGTTGGAGGCGGCTGTAGCCCAGCAGCAGCTCAACTCTGTGCTGTACAGCCCCACCCCCTCTGCCGACTCCCTTCAACAGCACGTACAGGAAAACATGAACAGCCTTAGATTGGGAACTGCAGATAATTCACTTTCAACACAGCTGCAGATACAACAACAGCAGCAGCAGCAGCAACAACAACAACAACAACAGCAGCAGCAGATACAACATCAGATGCAGCAGCAGATGCAGCAACAGCAGATACAGCAGCAACAACAGCAGATACAACAACAGTTTCAACAGCATCAACAACTGCAGCAACAACAGCAAATCCTTGGTAACCTTCAGCATCACCAACAGCAGCAACACATACAGCAGCAGCAGCAGCAGCAGCAACATCAGCAGCAGCAAGTTCTTGGCAATATGCAGATCCAACAACAACTCATATTACAGCCACAAGACCAGCAACAGCAAATCATGGAGAATATTCAACAGCAACAACAGTTGCAACAAAGTCAGACACAAGTCCTGAGCAACATCCAACTTCAGGATCAGCAACAACAAAATCAAATACTTAACAATTTACAACAACAACATCAGCTGCAGCAGCAGCAGCAACAACAACAACAGCAGCAACAGCAAAATCAAGCGTTGAGCAACTTGCAACAACTACAAGACAGGCAGGTGTTGGAGAATTTACAGCAGCACCTGCAGGCTGAGTTGCTTCAACCCCAGATCCACTCCTCCCCCCAAATACAGCAGCCAGTGTCCCTCCTTCAACAGGCTGGAGAGCTGCTCACTATTCAGACCAGCTTCCCAGCACAGCCTCCCTCCCACACATCTCCTCCACAACAGCTCTTTCAATCTCCCCGGCCCCTGGCAGAGACCCAGGGCTCCCAACAGCAGGTCCAGGCCGCCCTGCTGCAGAATACGCTGACTGTTCTGACCGGTGGCGGTCTCAACTCCGAGCAGCAGCCTGCAGGCTCCAGCTTATACCTGTCCCCAAACCAGCCCCAACAGCAGCAGCTGGCATTCATCTCCTCCATGGAGACCTCTAACGCTCAGTCCCAGTCTGTGGCGATGTTTCAGAACCAACCCCAAGCCCAGCTTTCCCAGATGCAGCATCAGAGCACCCCCATGGAGCAGCAGCAGTCTCCGCAACAGAGCCAACAACAGCCACCGCCGCCGCTTCCGATGGGCCAGCAGAGCTCCTTGTTCCAAAGTATCCCGAGCCACTCGCAGGCGAATAACCCCGTCGCCCAGAGCCAGCTCTCCCAACAACAACAACAACAACAACAGACCGGCCTGCTCCTCTGCACCACAGATCTTAACCCCCAGGCTCTTCCGCCTACTCTTCTCTTCAGTACTCAGACCCAAGGCCCTCCGCCTATGGGAAGCATTAGCGTCGGAATCCAACAGCCAGACCCAGCCGAGCCCATGTCCTTCCAAGACCAGAGCTCCTCGGGCGGCAACCCGGCAACCACCGACAACCAACAGCAGAGCCTGTTCCAGGAGCAGCAGCCGATGCAAGTGGGCCCGAGTTCCATCAGCGTCCAGGGCGCTCAGCCCGTGGAGCTGTTCCTGCCACAGACGTCCCTGTCCAGCCTGCAGAGCACCATTGGCTCACAGGAGCTGAACAACCAGGCTCCGGCTCCTGGCACAACCATCTTCGTGGTGCAGGGCAGCGTGGCCGTGGTAGCCAGCCCCGGCCAGCAGCCCCCGGAGCAGCTTTTCCAGACGACTGTGGGCGGGAATGTGGCTCCACAAGGGCAGGCCAATCTGTTTGTGTTTGGCATCCAGAACGGTAAGACAGCTTCTCCCCCCTCTGAAGTACAGTAGATCTTCTATCTGACTCACTCTATTGTTTTGTATTTTGGCAATGCCTCAACCTACTGTTTGATAATGGTGAATGTTTCAATTTCCTCTTGCTCCCAGACTCCCCCCAGCTGCTCGGTTCCACTAGACCCGCCCTGCCAGCTCAGGGCCAGTCCCAGAACTCCAGCCACATGCTGGACCAGCCCATGGCCCAAGCTGCCTCCACAATGCCCACCGCCATGCACGGCAGCTTACAAAGCACCCTTCAGGCCCGAATGCAGTCCAGCTTGGAGAACGCCCTGCAGAGCAGCCTGCACAACGCCATGCAGACAAACGCACAAACGTCTCTGCAGTCAAGCTTGCAGGCAACCAGAGAAACCAGCCTGCCGACTCCAATGCAGACGCAGATGCAGAACAGCTTACAGAATCAAATGCAGGGGTCAATATCCTCGTCCCCCGACATGGACAAAATGTAGAACCTAGTGGAGAGTCCACGGGGGTAATGATTTACGACTGGACCACGTGCGCTCTAAGGAGAGTCAGTGATGCGTAGCTGAGAGTTTAACGTCCTTGCAGCAGCAAACAGAGCGGTGCTGTGGGATGGGTTATAGAACCCCTTAATATGTAAGATCGAAATGCCCCTTTTACTTAAAACCTAAATTATGAGCACACGGAACTCCGTTTTTATGGAATATTTATAATTGAATATAGCCTTCATAAGTCCATTGTCCTTGAATTGAAGAATCGGCCTTTGTTATTACTCCTCTTGCCGGATCAGAGAGGCCGGTAATAACCGCTTTATCCATCCATCAGTCTCAGAAATGCAGTCTTATGTTAGTGTTTTAATAATGTGAGCCTAAGAGGAAATCATGACGATGATGATAAATAAACCTGCCAGGCTCGGTGGAAAAACTGGAAATGGATAAAGAATGCAAGCAAAAAGGAAACCGGGGAATCGTAATGGAGACGAGTCTGAGAGCAGAGTAGGAGTCAATCAGGTTGCACATGAGTGTCCGGTAAAGGCGGAACCTTGTTTTGTGTGTCTGTGTGTGTGTGTGTGTGTGTGTGTGTCACTCTAAAGGCAGTGTGTAAGATGTGTTTTTTTTTTTGTTTTTTTCCATAATGTGGAAATGGGGGACACTGTCTGGCATAAAAGCCGGGAGTCACTGACATCACCGTCCTCAATTTAAACTTTTTACATGGACACGCGTATGTCCACAATTTGACTAAAATCTACTCTAAGAGTAAAGACTGTTAAGTTAAGTACATTTGTACAATGTTTTTTGCCTCAATCATGTATCCGTATGAACCTGTGCAGACTCCTATCAGGCGTGTTCAAATATTGATCAACTCCCAGGAAAGAAATCGCACACCAAAATGTGTGTTGATGCGTTACGTGGTGTAGCAGGAGATTTCCCCGCCGAGCAGAACCAGGAGAGACTATTTAACACCTACAAACGAGATTCCCCCCTTGAGAATAATGTGACTTGCCTTTTTGGATTTGGCACCTCCCCAGTGTTTTAATGGGTCAAGGCCTCCTCGCTGGGCTTCTAGAAGCTTTCCCGGGGACATTTTAAGAAGCATTCAACTATATAATGTGTTTATCTTTTTCGTTTGTTTGTTTCGAAGAAGTCGGTTACCATTACCACTTTAATGTGGAAAAGAAAGAAACTGTCCACTTGTGAAAATGGAGTGTCGTGTGGTTTTATAAACATTTTATCTCAAGCACTTTATAACCTCTAGCTAATCCTTATATGTCTACAGCTCCCTTCTGGCCCAGCTGAATTTGTAGTTGGAAACGTCCAGTTAAAAAACAAACAAAAAAACAAACACCCCGAAATGACCCACAGCAGTTGTCTTTGTAAAGGTAAACATGTCCTTACTGAACATTTTAACATTTTCTCATACCTAAATACTGGTTTAGGACAACTTTGTATAGAATGTCTACTCACTGTTGAATTCCTCTTTGTATTCTGTCTCAGTGGTCAAGTCTGTCTAAACAAACAGCCATTCCCACAAAAGCGTTGTCACGTTTCAGTGCTAAGTGTGTTTTCCGCTCTGACAAAATGTCCAACGATTCATTCAGCTTTGAAATTAAGGATTTCTCATCGTATTTCTATCTGTACTATTTACTGTTACTGTCACACGGGACTGTTTTACATTGTGTTAGATGTTTTGGTTTGTGTCTCAGTGTTGGTACCGCGTGTGGCCGGCGCCGCGTAGTTGGCTTCCAGTGACCCCCCCCCAGGGGGTCGGCTGGTAAATGAAGCCTCTGTTACAGAGAGGCTGCCGTCATGGTTTGTCTACGGTGCTACGTACAGGAGGCCAACACTTCATTTTATTTCCCCTCTCTGAGGAAGGCGAAGTCATGACCTACTCCATATCTCTGCCATGAGGAGATGAGGAGGGCGACTGTTTAGGCCGACAACATCGGGGGGGGGGGGTCATGGCTTTTGCCTTCCTAAAAAATAAAAAAGAGCTGGGCGGGCGCTATAGGGCACTTGTGGTGTATTTCTGTACTTGTATCAATAGCACTGTCCTATGGTCGGGTTTGAAGCGGCGCTGGGTCCAGACAGCTGGCTGCTGTGGGGTCAGACGAGGTCACGCAGGCATACCAAAGCACCCGTTGTGGATCACCGTCATCTTTGTCTCATACGTGTCCTCCGCCCTCATAATGTTTACTCGTTTGTACTTATTTAAGTTATGCAGCTCTTGCGTGGATCAGCGTGATGTTTTATAAGAAGATATGTGAAGGTACTTTGTTTTATGGATTGGTTCACCTCTCGTTAACATTTCCACCAATTTGATATATTACTCAATTTTACTTTTTCTAATGTGAAATAACCCTGCTGTACTTTCCATATCTACAACAGTAGCCAGTTTGGCATTTATCAAAAATCCCATTTCTGAGAATTCAAATATTTGGCATAGCATTGCTCACATATGCATTAGTTTCCATTTCCATATTCATACTGTTTTGTCCTGCAGCTATTAGTGATCCATTTTTAAAGTAACTTATCTTTTTTAGAATTTTGTATCCATGTATCAAAATAGAGTATTTTTGTAAAACTAAACGTTTTAGTTTAAGCCCATAGCAAAGAATATCATTGCTGGTCTGTTTTCCTGAAATGAAGAGCAGGTTTATTGTGATTGTTGTTATTATTAAGTGTGTGACTGAAATTGGAACCAAGCAAATGCGTTGGAACTTAACTCTAAACGGTTTTTAACATCGACTTTACCCAACCATTGTACCATAATACATGGGCCGTTTATCTTTTGGTGTGTGTGTGTGTGTGTTTTTTTTGTTTTTTTTTAATGTCATGCATCTCAAACGGCACTTTGACTCATTTATTAACTGTAGATCAGGTCCGAGCGCAGTAGTGATGTTTCCAAGCATTCCATTCCTCTTTTGGAGTTTTAAGAGCACACGATGTTGCGGAACAGCAACGCCTCTTAGAGCCGCGCCGACACAGAAAGCCAACCTGTGACTTCAGTTTCATGAATGTAAAGTTTACCTCATGGTGTGGACATAGAGCTCGCTCTACAACGGACATCGGACCAATTACAGTTTAAGAGAACATATATTAGGGGGAGGGAGGGTGATTCGGCACCAACTGTCATTCGTATCACTGTACATTTGTCATTGTTTGGGATTGTGTGTTTTTCATGTTTTGTTTTGTTTTCCCCCACATGCAGTCGTTTTGTTTTGAGCGATCCGGGATGCTCGTCCCGACTCGTCACATGGCCACTTCCACCTGACAAAAAAAAAAAAACCCACATGTGAAACGTTTTCGTTCAACGGCGGTGAAGATAGCACACAAATCTTTACGAGAAATATCAGTTTGGTCCTTTTTAGTCGTGTAAATGAATATCCATGTATATTTAAATGTGAAATATACTGCAGGGATATCTCGAATTTCAATTCAATAATGCTTTCAACAGAACTGTGTGTGCCTTGATAACTGTTACTCTGTTGTGTTTACTGGTGCCCCTCGTGTGCGTCACTCGGACGGTTGAACATCGGAACACTTTTCTGCGGTGGGGGAAATTTTCAGATTTTCCAAACGCAATCATAACCCCGGCCCACATAACATTTATTTCAATTTAATGGGTTCTCCTTGGAAATCCATTCCAGGATATCAGTAAGCACCCTCAACAGAATATCCTGCAGCTTCACAAGTGAATTGTCCACTTGTCTGTTACTTTGTGTTTCAAATGCCTCCTGAGATTTGTGTACGTGAGGTAGAAGGGATACGACCGCGGAGATTGTTTATTCGGAGCGCTTTCTTGTGTTGATGTGCTTGTCAACATTACTATTGTTGCTGTGAAACGCTTGATCAAGAGGAGCAACCATGATGAATTAACTCGTCAATTGCCAATAGTGTGAGCCGTATCTCGTGTGTAATCAGTTGGCTCACTTTTCCTAGTTTGCTTTTTCTATTTCACATTCTCCAACAGTTCTGTTGTATCCGTTCTGTGTAGCTTGAGCTTTAGTATCTGGCCCTGAGACCCTGCGGTCGGGATGAAGGTCAACCCCAGTGTGTTATACATCTGAACTATTATTAACATGTACTTTGCCTTGTCTGGACATTTGTATACTGTTTATATCTGTAATCCTGCTGCTACATTAAATGAATTAATAAAAATGGAAACAGTGTGGTTTTGCTCCCTTTTAATACCGCCCTTAATTTTTTAGGCTCTTTATATTCATCTTTTAAAGTAAATATTGCAGTCACACGTTACATTCGTATTCTCACAAGTAAGGCAGTAAATGACAGACTAAACTCTCAGGAAAACAGCTGGTCATAGTTTACTAGTTCTGCTAAGTAGCATCCGTTGGAAGAAGGGTAACGGGTCCTCGGGGTCAAAACCGACATCAAACTCGGGCGTTGTCCTGAGAGCGAGGACGGCAACCAGTATGGCGAACGTGGCAGTGAGGCCCCATATGTGGAACTGGCGTCCTGAATCGGGGTCCACAAAATAAAACGAGTGCAGAAACCCCCTCATCCCAGCAACGCCGTGGCTAGACGAGTGGTCCTTGTCCCTGGTGAAGAAGTCCAGGGGGACGGTGAACACAGCGCTGACCTCCGCTGGGTTTGGACGGGGAATGAAGGACTCGTCTATGAAGCCGACCACCGGGGTCACCAGCAGACCACTCTGTTAAGAGGGATGGAAGGTGTGAAGAGGGGGGAGGGAGGGAGAAAGAGATGGACCCAGAGGGAGGAGTCAGTGGTGCTGCTCCTACCTTATTGATGACAGGGACCAATCTACAGACCACCAGGACATCAGCAGGCGGTAGACCGATCTCCTCCTCTGCTTCTCGCAGCGCGGTGTACACGTCATCCGCGTCGCTGGGGTCCCTCTTCCCGCCAGGGAAACACACCTCTCCCGCGCTGGTCCGGAGCTGCACGGACACACAGGTCGGTCGGTCCGAGGCGGTTCGGATTATAAAGAGACCCCGGCCCGGCCCGGCCCGGCGTCCTATCGGGAGTAACTTACGTACCTCTCGTGAGCGCAGCGTCATCAGGGTGAACAGCCGGCCGTTCTTCACGGTCAGGGGGATCAGCACGGAGGCTCTGGGCAGCACCGGAAGGGACGAGGCGAGCTCGTTCCCGACGTCAAGCTGCTTTAAGATGGCCATCGTCTCCTCTTTAACGCGCATCGCGGCGACTCCGCTTCAAAGGGAACGCGAGTTCCGGTGTTTCCTAAAACCGAGACCGAATAAAAACAAGCTCGCGCTATCCCAAGTACAGGACGTCAGAAGGCGAGCGAGGTTACGTAACATCATGGGGACTACACAAAGATGCACAACCTAAAGTGTGGCAAAGGTTGTGTTAGGACTTCCGGTAGGTTTCTCCCGGTGACGTTAAAGTTCATCATTTGTACGACTGCTCACGCTACCTTTGACCCCGGGTGACGTCACGCAGCGCGATTTACCAGAGCATCTGCAGATTTGCCCCATTGTTTTAGTTACAATCCAGGCAACAATCGACAGGTCCACAACGGCCTCCTGAAAATGACGTCATGCTATGCGACGCGCTCTCGTGTTAGCCGCGATTAGCCGGTTAGCTGTCAGGACAGAGTCGTGGGTTTAAAGGCAGCTTACAAATTACACACTTGCTTTTTAAAAACCATAGAAGGGAATTCAGTGAAACGCGTATGACACTAGACAGTGTCAGTTTCTTTACGGCTAAAACGGGCTCGCGGTATTTTTGATGCTTTAACTGGTTTTCCTGTTACTTCTGAAAAAAAATAATTCAGAGATTGAAGGAGATTTATGTTGCTTTTTACATGAAAACGTCAGATATGAAATAAAACATTACAAGTCAGTGTCTTTATGGCATAATGAGGATAAATCTGCATTCCAAGTGTAAACAAACGCACAAACTGAAGTTTCCCCAAAATTTGACTGACAGCTCACAGAACAACGTGCGATTTGAACAAATATAGCACAATATTCTTTCTACCTCTGCAATGTACAGGAAAAATATATACACGAAAGTGCATAAATTAAATAACCAAAATATTCATAGTATGTAGCATGTATTCATTGGAGGACAAATGATGTGTTCAACATATTTACGAACCAGCTGTCACATTGTGGGGGGTTTTTTATGTACAAAATGAAATAAAAGTCCAAAACGCTGCACGGTTAAGGAGGGACATCACAGGGGTCCAAGTGATCGCCTCATACTTTGTACTTCTCTTTGGCTCGATCATTCAGTATACAGATGTGCTGCAAAACAAATTAAAAAGAGAACATTGCATTTCATTTTCCAGATATTCCTTTTTCTGCTTTAACTCAACATTTTGTACAGCTAGTGCGTCGCTGTAGTTACAGATGAGGAAAACCGGGTCAGGCTTTGTATTGTGTTTGGAAACCTTTTAAAAAACCTGAGGAGGAAATCAATGCTTGATTTTTTTGATCTGTTAATTATTCTTTGATAGTTAAAAAGGGGAAAATGGGGGAGCCATTCACACTTGCAAAACGTTTAAATAATGGCTGATAGTGGTGGAACAGGGTTATTAACTAGGAAAACATTCTATTTTTTTGTGTAAGCTGTGATATTTGACTGCATGACTTTGTCATGCATGCGTTGCAGTTAAACTGCCAAAACAATATACTGTGAGGATCACTACACCATCAAAATGTGGCATGAAATTGAACATTATTATTATTATAAGTTATATTATCACAAGTCTGTCCTTATCGTCATCTGAAGTGATTAAATGCAGAAAACTTACACTGAGATCTCTGAAGTACTCATTGTAGTCCAAAGCGTAGCCCACCAGAAAAGCATCTGGCACCTCAAAGCCAATGTCTAAAATAAAAAATATATACAGACACTGAGAGTCATGTGAAGAAGAAAAAAAGCTACTACTACTACTACTCATGTGAAGTTGAAGTAAAACTCAAGCTGATTTAAAAAGAGCTGCAGAAACATTCACTGTCATGTGAGGCTCTGAACGATTAGACGTTGCCCTTTCACCTTCTAGTCCAGCGGCCAACGTTGTGTAGTGGGTCAGTCAAAAAGCTTTCAGTAAGAGCTGTCCATGAAGGACAATCTTAGCGAGATTACCAACCTCAAACCTAAAAGCCTCACATAGACAGCGTGAGTAGGGGGTGATCAGGCGCGGGTTGGTGCGTAACTGCCACACTCGCCTACATTTGGAGTGAGTTCTACGGAAATAACCGTTAATCCTGCTCGGAAAACGCAGCTTTGGCACTTTGGCAGCCCTTGAAAGAGACGGGAAGTAAAGAGGCACTCACAGTCTGGTCTGTACCCTGAACTCCTCGGGGTCCGCTTCACCAGAAGGCTGGAATTAAACAAATGGAAGAAATAAAAAGCTTCCAAAGAGAAAGTACCAGGTCGAAAGAGAACGAGCAGTTGTCACCAAGAAAAAAAAATAAAAAACAGTGCAGCTTTTAACAGCGACAGATGACACGGATTGATCTATTCAACGTGCAGGGATGCAATGTTAGAAGAGGCTCAGTGGGGCGTTTATGTCTTTACGAGTCAGTGTATACGAAAGATACTCTTCAAAACAGTAGAGTCGGATTTTCACTCAACGTGAAAAATGGTTTGAAAATGAAAATTGTTACTAGAAAGGCCTGCAAGTTCCCCTGGTTAACGGGCACTTTGACCTCAGCAGTAAGAGGAACTATCTGGTTTCTCGTGAGTGTGTGTAAATTGAGTTACTTGAGAGTTCTTGAAGAATTGTTATTCACAATAGAAGCTTGGCAAGATAAGTATTGGCTATAAAAAACAACCATAGTTTTATCCAAGCATCAAACAAGAAGGCCACATTGTTTCAACACATTTCCTGTTTTGAAACCAGCCATCGGGAACAGATGAGAGAAATGTCCTCTTACACCACGGCGCAGTTAAATTAGTGCTGCGGATTAACGGTTAAGCTGCTCCCTCCGTCACAGTACGGCTCCGATGCAGCGCTGAAGGAGCGCAACCATGAGCCGAGAGCGCTGTTCTACTCGATCTGTCGCACAATGCCAGCCGGTCACAGTGGACGTCCATTGTTCAGCCCTCTCGCACTGTAAACTGCGTCTAAAAAAAAAAGAAGAAAAAAAAAAGGTGCCTCATACCTCACAACCTTCACCATCTTGGGTTTGCAATCACTCAGCAGGGAAAGCAGCGTCTCCATCGTCCTTCCCGTCTCCACGATGTCCTTTAGATAACGCGGGACACAGACAGAGCGCTCACACAAAAGTAATTACTTAAAAACATGACAGTTACACCACTTGGGTACAACGGACCGGGGCGTTTTATAAAATGCTACGTCAGGGATTTCCTTTGTAAAAGGATGAACAAACGCAGAAAAAGGTCTAGAAACACGACGCCGTATATTTTTAGATGACATTCAAGAGATTATTGAAAATCAGTTTATGCAAAGGTATTTATATTATTGTGGGCAACATCAGTGAGCTGCACTGGTACGTGGCAATATTAGATGAATTTGTCCCTTACATTAATCAGTGCACCCCAATATACACATACTTATGTTATCCTTTTCACTGAAAAACATAATTTGGAACGGAGAAGAAATTGCTCACCTCGACTATCAACACATTCTGTAGAAAAACGAATGAAAGAACAGCTGATTAAGTAAACCACATGGGAACGTGTGCTGGAAGTACTTCTGCATGGAATACTGCAGGGGACTGACCTTGCCTGAGAGCTTGGACAGCTCATCCCCTCCTATGACTTTGACACGGTTTGTTGACTGGTCATTCTAAGGGAATCGAAAGAGGAGGCAACATTTCCCATCTCAGTGTGAATACCAATTCAGATAAATTAACCCGATCATCCAGAACACACTGAATGCTGAGGCCCATTTCTGACTGAAGAACGTTCTCATGCTTAACCCCATGCAACACACACACACACACACACACACACACACACACAGTTCCTGGATGGGGAAAGAAAGGCAGCTTACACAGTAGCTCTTCACCCTAATGAAATCCACCGTGAGGGGGACGGATTTATCGCTGTTCTGGTTCAGTGCTGTGATGTAGTCCAGGAGGTCTGCGAAGAACTTGTAGCCTCCTTTCAGCACACACAGAGCTACGATGTGGTGGCCCCCCATGTCTCGGACTATGTCTCGGGCCAGACGCTCGGTCCTGGATCAGAGAAAATGAATTCAACAGGGAAATAAATGTTGTTATTTTGTGCGGGGACGCTTTGCTTTACGTGGTTGCACTTAAACATGAGGTCTTCCATTACATTTCACAGCAGACATGGAACACACACACCCCCCTCCTGCCAAATCCACATTCAAATGAACACCGGGATGTGGGGTCAAACAAATTCAGCACACTACAGTAAGAGAGAGTGTGTGTGTGTGTGTGTGTGTGTGTGTATGTGTGTGTGTGTGTAATGAGTCAGGGATCCAGAGAGAGATGACTGGACAGAAATAGGACTTGCTCGGGTTACCTGTCCATGATGAGTCCGTGCGGGATGATCACCCGTTCCAAATCGTTTTCGTAATGTTTGGGAACACAGAAAAGGTCCAGCTCGTGGCCTTTCTCGTCATCGGCGATCTGGAAGGAGGAGAAATGTGCCTTCAACTCGGCGCAAAGACATTCCGTCGGCACCGGAGAAGAAACGTGCGCCAGAGACGCGTTTAAATCACACTGAAGCCATTATTCTATAAAACACCTGCTCATTTGCACACACACACACACACACACACACACACACACACACACACACACACACACACACACAGCTCGTTGTTTAAACATTACATTAAACACAAAGCTCGCGTCGCACCACCTGCCGTCAACCGGTGCACGCGCACAAGGCAGCGAGTTGTCGAGCAGGTGATCGAGCGGACTGGCGTTGGTTTACCTGCAGGAACGAGGCCATGTCAGCGGCGTGTCTGAGACGGCATGCTCCGGTCCCGGGATACAGAGACGGGCTGATTGACTCGCGTCCTCGCCGACTGCTGCGATCAAAACCCGTTTACGTCAGAATCCGGTTAATAATGTGATTTAGCGCTACGCGGCGTGCGCGTGTGAGGAGGCGGGATCCCTGCGGGCGTTTGGAGGAGGCGCGGATGACGCAGCTTTAAATACATAAATACAGTCCCGTCTGTCCTCCTCGGAAAGCACCGCACTGCTCCTAGTGTGCGCTTGTGTATACGATTTACGTAATAGTTATAAATATCCCCACATTACTGTCCCCCCCCCAAACCGTTTTAACTGGTCCTCCTTAACACGGTCCTCATCAGCGGATTACTTTTAAGGAGTTACTTAAAATCTGCTTGATGTTTACGTCAAGCACATGCTTTTGAAGTCATAAATTGTCATGCCATTAAAATGATTGCAAGTTTGGGTTTATTCTAACCGCTTCTCTCTCAAGTAGTATTGCCATGATTGGATATTAGTTACGTAGTTTGGATGGCATCAATGTATAGTTAGTTTGGTCGCGATGTATCACTATTTATTGATATGAATAACTATATACATATCGTGGTCAGATATTATATAATGTCATCTGTCCACTGTAGGTTTTCAGTTTCATAACTCATCCGTATTTTCCATCCAATCAATAATTTGCAAAAACTGAGTTCATAATCCTGCCGTTATGGTCCCACACACACACAGACACTCATGGCGGTTCACGTACAAAGTTTCTCTGTCTCTCTAAATACAAAAATAAAGCTGCTGTAAAACAAACATCAGTACATATTACTACAGGCAGGTATATTATACAATTAAACAGTGTCATAAATTTTAATTAATCAAAAACCACAAAAACAAACGCATTTTAATATGTTCCCAATTTAATGAGTGATACAGAAACAAAACATTTTCTTCCCATATTACAAAAAAATCAATGACAAGTGTTGTACCAACACCTGGCGCATGGAAACTATGAAAACAGAATAAAAATGTTTTCATAGTTCAGAACACCAAAGACGCCTACATCATCATCTCTGCCCGATAATAACAGTCTTTATGAGTGCCACCTGTGACCACGGGGCCAAATCTCAAATGACACCAGTCCCCATATAGAGTCCTACTTTTAGCCGGAGACCCAGATACAGAACTGTGACTGGGGGCAGAAAGTGGAGCAGCATCCCGATGAAGATGGCAGGATTTGAGAGAAGACCTTAACGAGGAAGCACTCATTTCTTCTTCTTCTCATCTTTCTTGGCAGCGTCAGCTTTTTCCTTTTCCTTGTCTTTGTCCTTATCGTCTTTTTTCTCTTTGTCGTCTTTCTTCTCTTTCTTGCCTTCTTCCTTCTCCTGTCCTTCCTTTTTCTCTGCGTCGCGGTTGGAGATCTTGTTGTTGATCAGGTTGTGCAGAGCTACCACGGAGCGTATGAGCGAGGCGAGGTAGACCACCAGCATCTGGTCGTTGGTCTTAAGGTAGAAGGCTTTAGTGAACTCCTGCAAAGATGGAAATGTAACATTTAGGAACCCACAAAATGTCCAAATGAAACAAGCAATAAATTCATTAAAATTCAGAAGCATACTCAGTTCTGCTATGTAATCTTACAGAGATGCTGAGACAATTAAACCAAAAAAGGAGTTAACAACTTACCAGCAGATTTACATCTGGCAGTAAGTTGAAGACGTCCTGCAGCTGGTAGATAATCTGGTGGTTGATGGGAAGTTTTCCTGCCGTCACTCTCTCCAAGTAGGAGCGGATTTCCAACAGCTTGGAGTTGAGACCCTTCAGGCCGTGAACCTGATTTGTGATCCGTTGCGATAGAGTGCCCACTGTGGTGTCCTTGATATCTCTGGATATGAAGGGCATGAGGATGAATATCAGCAGGCGAGGGGTTAACTTTTGTTGATCCTTTTTGTGTTTTTTCCCCCAAATAAATTAGCAGTAGAGTGGTATACTGCGGTAACTAAAATTACACGCTCAACAGCGTAGCAAAGTGAGTAAATGAAAGGTTTGTTTTGTACCTGAGCAGGTGCTCAACACCCACTTCCTCTGCTTCCTCTGCTCCAATCTCGCTGGTGACATGTTCAAATGTCTTGGATGTTGGTGTCCCATCCTATAGTCAAATAAACCAAAATGTGTTACACACGGCAGTAAGGACGGTAAACTTTAACTGAGAGGATTTTGAAAAAAGAAAATCTCCAAAGGCCTTTCCAGTTTAGTGTGGTCAGTTTAAATACAAACTAGTCATGAAACCCATATCATTGCAAAACACCGAACAAGCCAAGATTCACTCACGTCATGAATTTCCTCCACAGAGATGTATGCTTCTGTGGGGAGGCCGAGATCTTTGGGCTTCACATCTATAATGACTAAGACCTGGTAGGATAAAAACCAAAATACATGAGCGACTTATGACATCTCAGTGAATATGAGATGAGCAAAGTTACGCAACAGCAAATCAACATTCAGCTGGATCGAGAAGTTTAACAATTTCATACCGAATTGGTACAGTACTGCTTGATGAGCTCGTTGATGGCGATGTCGTTCTTATGTAGCTTGGGTCCTGTGTGATACCATCCGACTATTCTTTCTCTGGCTGAAAACCAGAAACGGAAGTTATTCATGAGTATAAAATGATGTCACCACTATTGCGTAAAAACAAAACCGAATCACACCGATGTAGGTGGTGTATTACCATTTACTTTCTTGAACATGCCATACATGTTCTCCAAGTAGTCATGGTCCAGGAACCACACCGAGTCATCCCTGTCATCCTCGTCAAATGGCACTAAAGGAACATTGGCAATGAATTAGAGAGAAAATTACAGAATTTACCATATTTCACTTCATAAAGGGCATTAGTGGGTAAAGCAGAATCCCAATGTAAAAATATATCTAATGCATATGGAAATATCTTAAGACGGGCCCTTCACTGATTACAGACACAACTTACTTGGACTTGTCAAATGTACTATGTGGTTTTGGAGGATGTTTTCTACAGTGTTACAAAGGCAGATGATATCATCTGGATTATCAATGTTTAGGATTAAAGAACACACATAACGTCAACATTACAAACTGGGGTACATTAATTACCCTGAACTGAGTGTAAGGCCTGAAGGATCCAGTGGCTTTACAGTATGCATTTCATTAGAGACCTAAACTCAGAACATCTCATGTTGCTTCCGTTTTCCTTTGTAATACTGTTGTGTACTGAACTCCGATCAGCATGCTGTCCTCCTGTCACTCACCAGCAAAACTATTTGAGACGTCAAGAACTTTTTTATGCCAAGATCCGAGGAGGACACCAACCACTCGTTTCTGGTTGCCAACTTTTCCTATTCTGTGGATTGAATTGTCAAATGTACGGAAAACCAGGTTAGATCGCAATAGTATGTCTATCGAATTCCAACAAATATTATACAGTTTTATTAATATGTACATATACACACGCATATGCGTTTTTCAGAACGCCTCAAATTATAAATACGAAGTCGTTCGCTATTAGGTCGTTTAACTAAGCTAATGCCCACATCTTCATGTCATCCATTGCTAACCAAATAACAGAACAAAATGAGTGTTACAATGGGCCACAGCGAGTTCAAATCTTATCATTGGGCACTAATGAGCCCTATTATTGATTAATTTAACGGTTGGACACATTGTTTTCTGACAATAGTTGACGAACTAGACAGACACCACGGAGCTAACTTCAACCTAACTAGCTTGCTCATGTCTGCGTTCACTCTCAACGGGGCTCTGACTCAGCAAGGCTAGCATTAGCTTAGCTTAGCAGCTCCGTTACGCTTTTAGACTTGTGGCTATTCAGCTAGTTCAAAGAAGAACACAAATACTGAAATCACTGACCTGTTAAAGTGATCGACCACGCTGAGCAATACCAGGGGGTGAACGACCACATTTTCTACTGCTAATTCCGGCATTTTCGCAGTGTAGACAACCAGCTCACAAGCCCACCTCGACACAATGACGGCGACGCTACACTTCCGGTTTCGTCTGACGTCGTTTCCGTTTCTCTTGGCAACAGCGAAACGCGCAGAAAAGGCAGAAGAGTTGTCTCACCCGGCCTCACACGCGCACATTCACAGACAGAATGGCTGGGACTGAGCACGTAAGTCATCCGTCTTTAGTCCTGGAGGCGTTTTCTTAAATGTGTTTAACAATGTGTCTATAACGGTGACGTTATTATTGTTCAACGTTGACAATTTAACGACGACGACAACAGAGGACGCCGACAATCAATCATTTTAGCTCCACGTAACTGAAATGTCAATTTTGGGCTTTGTTAACGCGAACTAAACTTTTATAATTTAACTATTAGTTATATTTCATAAGTGTCTGTTTTACTAAATGCCTTTTCCACTCGGCAGGATCAAGTTGAGGAAACACTGAAGAGGATCGAAGCCAATAAATATGTGATTGGAACTATCGTTGTCAACGCAGAGGGTGAGCTAAAAGCCGTTTCCTGCACCTTTACACTACCCTTTTATTGTAAATGTTTTAAAAGTGTGGTCTTTCCAGGTATTCCCATCAGAACAACTTTGGATAACTCCACCACGGTTGTGTATGCACAGCTTTTACGCCACCTCACCATGAAGGCAAGGAACACCGTGAGGGACCTTGACCCTCAGAATGACATTTGCTTTCTCCGAATGCAGACAAAGAAACACAATATCTTGGTTGCACCAGGTGAGTGTCCAGAAGGTGCATTTGTATTGTTGACTTAATTTTCTGTAACTTGACCGTGCTGTTGTACTGCAGTTGAATTCCCCTTTTTCTCTTCTTTCTTTTTGTTTCTGCAGAAAACAACTTTCTGCTGATAGTCATCCAGAAGCATGTGAATAGCCTCCGGACATTTCCATGAGAGTCAGCCTTTGTTTTGTGCCATGATGGTGAAAAAAAATGTTTTTACACCGTGTTCTGTTACAGCATTATCCCTAATTGGAACTCATGTTTGTTGCCTTCCTGATTCATTGTTTTACCTTTTTATGTAGTCATATTTCTTTGCTTGTATTGCTTTGTGTTGATATTGAATATTACTGTAAATTAAGCTGCTGGTACAATTCTTACAAGATCATCCATGTTCATTCCGATGGATGACAAATGTAATGGAAACACTCAATAAATGGGGGAAAATAACTAATGCTGACGCTTCGGTACGGATTAACAATTTAAGAAATAAATCAGAATGTATTGACAATGCTTACCCAACTTTGACTTGAAATACTGTGTTACCATTATTCGTGTGGAGTTCTGAACTTCTGATCAAGGAACACTACCATTACCCTCGCCTCTCCTGAGAGTTATAAAGAGTTAACTGGCTAGAGTTTTAAAATAATTGAATAACTAACAGAAATAATAAGCAGTTACAAAGTGAAATAAAGTATGAAATAGTTTAAATATTATATTGCGAAATGGAGAAGTCCCCTCGTCCAGTCTCATATGACCATCACTATTGGTTCACAGGAGGCTTCTGTCTGGTCCTTCTCCAGCTCAGAAGGGGGCGTGTCCATTTTGCTGTTGTCCTATGTGATCGGCTGCACATTCAAACCAAGCTCATGAATTCCTTTCTGCTCCAAAGCATCACATGACTCCCTCCTGGTTCCATCTGATGGCAGAATCAGAAATCCCTCACTGACCTGACCGATCCCTGTTCACTTAATACTGCGGTACATTCAATGATCACACCTCTGGCTTAAAGCTTCGTCATGTAAACATAACATAGCATGCATAATATTATCATCCAATAGCCAGTGCACTTTAATAATAACACATCTTAAATCATCACACCTTAACCATTATGTTTAACTCAGTTCTATGGTCCATATTGGTTTGCCACGCAGGGCTGTCAAACATCCTTGAAAAAACTCCTAAAAAACCCTCTTTGGGGAGAAAATTGGAGAGAAATACATAAAGGACGATTACCATCCATCCCCAGGTTTTAACATTACATCGTGACAGGATGTTAATGTGGGCAATCATGACTTAAATGTCTATAAATTGTGTTTAATTGATATTGCAATTGTCTAACATCACCAAACTACAATTCAAAACACTAAACACTACTATAGGTGTTATCATTTCTACCGCTAGTTGTGCTCTACTGCTTAAATCCCTAACATTAGTGCATTGAATCTGTAAAACAGTTTGAGGTCTAATTTGCTAAAAGAAAACCTGGAAGGGAAGAACCTTTATTTGCAATACTAGCTGTAATATGCAACGTGTGCCTGTGCCTTGTAAGTATAAAGTAGCCTAAAATAGAAAAATCTGAGAGGAGTGGAAGTTCCTCAATATAGTGTTTAAGTACGGTTCGTAAGTAAATGTTCGTTATAACCAACGTCACCGCATTTATATCTGGATCATTGTGGTCTTTTCCAGGATGACGATGCTCCCATTGTGTATGCCAATTCAACACCTATTTTGGATTTTTGGGGCAATTTTTGAATCAAAGATACAAGATTTGTAAAAACCAAGAGAAGAACATGTAACTGATAGAAAAAGATTGAAATTTAAAATGTGTGAGGAGTTACAACTTTCCCCAGATTAATGCCAATGACCAATTAGACATTTTACAAATATTTTAATGTAAATTTCCATCAGAATGTACAGCAATATATGTTAATAAATAATTCATCACAATTTTACAGTCCAAATAATACATTACATGAAAACTGATTCAAAATAAAACGCAGGATTTCACAGCAAGTTTAAGGAGGTGGACAAGTGACGCAGGAAAGTCAGATGATTTGATGACATAGCTACTCGTTTGTGCTTGTAGGAACGCGCTCCTGGGACTTCAGCATTCAGAGGACGTTTTGAATTTGTTGTATCAGGCTTGAACAAATGGATCTCATCAAAAGAGAAAAATAGGTTTATTTTTGTCATCTATAGAGAGATAGAGCCATTCAGATGTCACACACGAACAATTCTAAATTATTTTCATATTCAAAATATATTGTATATTAGTTTTGACAGTCCTGAAATTTAATTGAATAATAATCAGGGTTTTTCTGTTTCCTTCACAAAATCTGATCAGTTTTTCCATAATAATTTAAGAAGAAATACCCTTTAGAATGGTGTAAACAATGATGCGGTCGGACAATGTGTCTAAAAGTACTGTTGTTTCGCTCGTGTGATGTCAATAACTAAGAATTTTGTGATGTGCTTAAAAATATCACAACTTTTATTCTCTTCAAGTTTTATCAACATTTATAGGCGTGTGGAGACCGAGGATAGACCATCTGAGCAATCGTCATGATAATGACAGACAAAACCTTTTTCATGTTGTCTACTATCCCCTGTGCATCTTGGTCACATTTCTGAAAACAACTGTCCTAACATCCTTCATTTTCAAAACATTTTTTTATTCTGACCAGCAGCAGTTCAAACGTAACATATGGCTTTGCACAAGAGATGGTTCAAACATTAAAACATACAAAATTCTTTGTATATCACAAGTGACATTACCAATGGAAATTTTATTAAACCTCAAAAAACTTCATTGATACCATTTTACCATTAAATAGATAATATCTTTTAGATGTTCTATCCGCTGCGGAAGCTTCACACGCACACAAACTGCTTCAACTGTCAGATTCAGTGCTAAATAGACACTACAATGTTGTACCACACAGAGGACGGTCAAGTGTTTCCTCCAATTCCACTTCAAGTGCATCCTAGCGAGTTTAAGGCCTGAGGTGTGCGTTGATTCCTTGACTCATTCTTCCTTCTTTGAGTCAGAGCAAGTGACTCCTGCACACTTACTCTCTTCTTTATTGCTGTCCAGAGAGGCTACAGATGTGTGCCAAGAGACGCATCTCATTAGTGTGAATCCCTACAGTTTATGCAAAAATATCCTTAAAGCTGGGGACTCGTGGGACAGGTAAGGGTAACGGAGGAAGAAGGTGTTATCGACCAATAATAACAATCCATCGGCAGAACGAGAGAGAGACAGGGACGCACGCGGTCACCATGGTTTACGGATACCGTGGCAAACTTGGCAGGTGATCAGTTGAATCTGGAACCAGACGGGAAACATAACCGATTGGCCACACGAGACGAGGGTTGGCTCCCTCAAGCTCTCCGAGTGCAGAGGGATCTGGCTCCAGTTTGTCTTGTTACTGGTTTGTTGGTGTCAGAGGTGTATCCGCCTGGGAGTTGGTTTCAGAGGTCACCTCGGCATGTGCCCGTTGACTTGCCCCCTGCCCCATTGGATGTTCGGTAGTGTCAAACACCTCCTGAAGTGCTCAAGCTGGGCCTGAAGTCTGTCCCTCTCCTCTCTCACCTTCTGCCTCTGACTCACCAGGTCCTGGCAAATGAAGGGCAGACATGAGTCTCATTACAGAACCATGACTTTCTGCTACATCACTAACAAACAATCAATAATAACAATAAAAGAGGAAAGTACAAAATTGTGCTCGCAGATACGTTGTCAGATACTTACGCCCATAGTGAGAGTGAGCTGCTCGGCGGTTCTGGTCAGATTGTAATTCTGTGCTTCAAGTCTTTTACACTGACTGTGAAGAACATGCCTCTCTACACTCCATTCTGTGCGGAGAGAAACCACAAGCGAGGAGAAATTACATTCATTCTAATACCCCTTTCACATGATGATGATAAGGGGAATAGTGGAGTCCATTGACAGACACTAAACCGATCGGACACCGACTCACCATCCACATACTCGTGGTAGGCCTCAAAGATAGCTTCAATACCCTGCCACTTCCTCGGAGCTTCTTCCATCTCCACCTCATCGCTTTCCTCCTCCTGACCAGACTCTTCCTCGTCCTCATCAGACAGGTCTTCGCGTGGTCCTGGAGTGTCCCTGCCGGCTGCAAGGGGGTGGAAGTGATAGCCGTTGATCTGTCCGTGCTGAAGCGCGTGGATAAGAGGATACGGAGTGGATGAGTTTTTTAGTTGAGAGACGCTGTGAGGCATCGCGCCGTCCTCTGGGCCACAGCTCGAGACTCCTTAGAAGAAATGAGTGAGACAAAAAGGGCCAAGTCAGTCTTTTCAGCCAAGATTGGTTACTACTAACATGAATGTCAATTTGGAGAATGTTGCACATAAACACCACTAGGTGGCAGAAAATTGTCATTTTAAAGTTCACCATCAGGCCTTAATGGTCCTGCACCTAAGGGAGAGAGAGAGGCTGACCTTTGTTCTGCAGTGTGCTATGTGTGGACTGCAGCACGGCCTGGTGGAAGTGCTGAGCAAAAGCCTCCGGTGCAAACCTCTCCCAGGGCCAATTCCGTCCATTCTGCACCGGATTGGATTCTTTTTTGTGTGGGGAAGCAACGGCGTTCTGGAGGCCCTGGAGCTTCCTGTTTGGCTGAGCCTCCGTGAATTCGGCCTTTTCAGGGTGGGGGTTCAAAGGTGGCGGATTGCGGGACGTGTGGGTGTTCACGGAGGGTTTGAATGTGTCATTATGGGCGAGCTGTCTGGGTTTGTGTAAGTAGGGAGGGGAGGGGCTGGGGGAGTCTGGGTACTGGTGTCCATTTGATTGACTCAGCAAAGAGGCCGATGTGGAGTTGTCATCACCTGAAAATACATTTACAAAAGCTCCTTAGAAAGATGTTTTTCTGTGTTAAATAAGTGTATACGAGTGTGTGTGTGTGTGTGTATTTGCTGAAGCGTCTGTGTGTCTTACCAGTTAAGTTAGCAGGAGGACTGCTACACGGAGGTAAAGGGTTATATCTGAGTGTGTCTAATGTCACAGTCTTCCTTTGAATGGCCTTCAGCAGCCCCTCAGTCCTTTCCTTATCTACACAGAAAATGACAGAATGAGAACATCTGTCATTCATATTGCTTAAAATATTGACCGGCACAAGGAATTGACGGAAAAGGGTCAGCAAATGGGTGGCTTGAGAATACAACACAATAGACAGCCACAGATAACATATTTAATACCCCTTTCACCTGAAAATATCACGTTATTTTCAGAGGAGCAGATTGGTCTGTACAGATGTTGGCCCAGATTGTATGTTGGTCTTTCTGGTTTATGTAGTTTACAGTAAAATTTCTGACATGCCGTTTTCAATAAATCCATTTTTGTGTGTATATCTATGTTTTTAGATTAATTAGTATTAGTTTAACATTTAAATTCATACATGTTAGCAGAAACAGGGTGAAAACTACCCTCACTGGAGGACGTAGAAGATCCTGCCACACCCTCCTCCTAAGATGCTTCTTAACTTTCATTCCTCCCACTGCTCCTACAACCTCGGTAAATAACAAAACTGAGTGTAACTAAGTGTGTTATTTCTCCACAGAGAATCCCACTTCCACTCTGGAGAGAGCGAGTAACACCTAGGATGCTGTTACCTCTCTTCTGCTGTGGGCTGACGTGGGAGAGGTTGAACATAAGGAGGAAGTCTTTTTTGTTGTGCAGTTCAGGGGTGCAGTCCATCTGCTCTGCAGAGTACGGCGTAGTTAAGGGAGCCGGAGGTGCCGAAGGCGACGGGGCCTTCCTCTTGCTCCGCGCGGCCGGAGGAGAGGGGCTGCGCTCTCGCATCATCCTCCTCCTCTTTCGCCTTTTCCTCTGCAGAAGCTCGTCGCGATGGGCCAGCGTGGTCAGACCGCACGCGCGCAGGAAATCCACTTTCTTCGAACAGAGACATTTGGACGGGTGAGTATCACTCTAACAAACACTTTTCAAACTCTGTATTCACATGGGAAGTCTGCCGTGTTTATGCACCTCGGAGGACGTGTCGAGTTTGAGCGGGGGCTGTTCCGTCACTCTCCTCAAATGAGCTTTTACCTCCTCCTCGTCGCTCTCATCGTACGACTCGTCCAGTTCATAGTAATAACCTGTGGAGAGAGAAGTTTTAGGTGTGTGTAGATATCTCCTCTGCCTGCCCACGAACCCATCCTCTTTCCACCTCTGCGCCTCTTTACGCTCCATCATTCTGCTCACCTCCCTCTCGGGCCTCCCTCCTCTTCTTCTCCTCCAGGTCCAGTTTGCTGAGCAGCTGGCGGTGCTGCTGGAGAACCTCGTCATACACCAGTACGCTGCTGGGCAGCTTACCCTGTCGCTCCCTTACCGGAGGCGGAGAAGCGGCCCGACACCGCCCCACCAGTTCAGCACCGGCGCGGGGAACAGATGGGGGCTCCATGGGCCTCTTGTGGAGGTTGTTGATGTGATGGCGGTGATAGAGGCTCTGGATGGCTCGGTCCTGGTCTGCCTGGTTCCAGGAACCTGCTTCTTGTAAACTAGCTCCCCTCATTGAGGTGTACCGCTCTGTGACCTCCGTCCGCCTTCTGCCTCCGTCTTCCTGCTTCTCCCCCCAGTTTACCGTCGGCCTGTCGGCTCTGGTCAGTCCTGGAGGCGGCCGGCTTGGCGGGGTCGGAGGGTTCAGTTTTCTGCGGGAGTCGGAGGGGGTGTCGACGAAGGAGGCCGGGTTCCACAGTGCGGTCAAAGGGGCAGGAGGATGGGGACCTTTAGGGGAGATAAGGGGAGGTGGAGCACCGAGGCAGGGAGGTACGTCTTTGCTTCCTGAGTTCTGATGGACTGAATGGGTTCTGTGGAATAAATGAGATTTAACTTCCATTTTTATTTAAGGCCTCAAAGCACAGAGTGACATTGCAGAGGTATACAATTGTGTTTTTTAAATAATTATTTGGCCATTTTCACCTGTGACTGTCTCTTTTCAGCTCCATCCGTTTCCCAGGTGACCTGAGGCCCATCTCCAGCGGAGCGTCCCTCTCATTCCCTTGTCCTCGTTGCCGTGTCAACCACGCCGCCTCACTAGCCCTCTGAGTCATCATGGCAGCTGCCAGAGCTCCATGGATCCCCCCAGCAGCAGCAGCGTGATGCTTCCCCAAGTGAGAAGGCACCAGGCTGGGCACAGGGTGTGGGATGGAGCCCCTGGAGGGGTGAAGGCCCGGCTGCAGGGACATAGGTTTGTGTGCTGGGAAACACGGGTGCTCAGAGTCCTTGGTTTTGTCTGGAGAAACAGAGGAGTTTGGAAACCATTCATTTATTTTAGATCACTGTGTGTGTGTGTGTGTGTGTGTGTGTGTACACATTTTGAGATTTGTCACACCGTATCTTAATTATAGTGTTCTGAAACGGAACAAGATGATGGATCATGGAATGAAAAAACATAACTAAAAGTACAAATGTGCATGCAGGGTTCTGTGGGGGGGTCAATCCTTGTATTTAATTGAATTTCAATGCATCCACACTTTATGTATTTATGCATAAGCTTTAAAAAAACAAAAGATTGGAGCGTGCTATATTTCAGGCGTAAATGTAGGGAGAGCAAGAACTCAGACTAAAAGCAATATTTTGCAATTGCATTTTTTGCAATATTCATGAGGAAACACAAGATCGGACCGAAAAAACGTAGTCTAAGGATTTTTAAATCTGCAGCTGCACCAGTTGGATGAAAAGAACAATAAATATTTAAAGAAGCGGGCACTACGATGGGGTGGTATAATTAATCTGACTGATTTCATCGCTCCGTGCTTCCACAACTGTAGTTTGATCTTTCTGTCTGGACCAAAACATAAATTATACTGTATCGCATTTTAGTTGTGCTTTGATTGCTGTTCACAATGAGCTTTGTGCAAACAAAGCCATATGAGTAAACATAAAGTTATACAGACTGACAGGTCGGCAGGACCGACCACTGTGCCATGAATAATACACCTTGTCTTTATCCATTGACAGTACATTGAATGTCAATCTGGTACAGAGAAAAGCACCAATAGAAAGTGAATGTAGCATAGCTGACACACTGACCCAGTGTTGAACATTTAAGAGAAATGATCTGTACATTTCTAATCAGAATGACTTGGTTTAAGATTTTGCCCAGAATTATGATATGTGTTGTATAGAATTGTAAAATCTCGTATTAAGATGTGCTAGAGGACAGGACAGTCATAAGTAATTGTTTGAGGGCCTATACCAAATTACATGGAGATCTTTCTATCACAGTGGGTGTCTGGCTGTGTTTGTGCATCTGCATCTGTGCGTGCATGCATGTGTGTGTGTGTGTATTGGTGTGTAGGTACCCAGTCTGTTCGGGGTCAGCCTCTCCCCTGGCCTGGCCCTGTCCTCCGGTGGTGCCCTCCGAGCCTGCAGCTCAGCCAGGTAGTGGTTTTCGGCTGCTCTGACCATCTGCTGCTGTCTCTCCCTCTGCCTCTCCTTCTGCCTGTCCAGCTCTCTCTCCCGCTCCTCCTCCCTCTCTCTCTCCCTCTCCCTCTCCCGCTCCAGCCCGGCCTCGCGCTCCCTTTCTTTCTCTCGTTCGCGCTCTTGCTCTCTCTCTCGCTGGCGGAGATCATTCTCCATCTGCAGCCTGTGGGGGAGGTTGACAAGTATGAACGCACACACACACACACACACACACACACACATACACAAACACGGGGGGAGAAGGTGAGAGATGCAACACCCAACACGAGGCAGATATTAACCAGACACTGGTGAACCTCACACAAACATTTTGTGCCCAAACACACACACACACATACACTTGCAGAAACACACTAAAATATTCCCACACTCTCTCCACTTACCATGAGGAAAATAATCCATACACAGCATGACTGAGCAAGAGCAGATGAACACTTAATAGGTATCCACAGGAAAAGGACACACGCGCACACACACAGCAGAACGCATTCAGCAGCAATCAATATCACACAAACAAAGATACAGGATACGCGAGAGCCATTACAGAAGCAGACTATAATACCATCCATTTCAAACACAAACATCTCCCCCCTTGTATTATGACAAATGGAAACAATGTGCATTGTGAAAGTGAGAAAGAATATGAAGAAAATGAAAAGAAATGGGGGTAAAAGAGACATTCAGTGTGTGTATATGCATGAGTTTGCAGTGTGTGTGTGTGTGTGTGTGTGTGTGTGTGTGTGTGTGTGTGTGTGAAGGGCAGCATGTGTGAAGAGTGTATAAGAGGCACTGTGGGGTGTGTGCTAAAAATATCACACACTCAGCAACCTGTGCCTTCCCTGCAGAGAGAGATTACACAGCCCAGAGAGACAGAGAGAGAAAGAGAGTTGCACGTGCACGTGCATGTGTGTTACCTTTCAGCCAGCGCCGCCGTGTGGTTCAGTTCTCCGGGGTAGCGGCCTCCAGGCATGTGCAAGTGGAGGGCAGAGTGGTGGAGAGGAGAGAAGGCGCCTCCTCCAGGTACAGAGTAGAACTGCGAGCGTAGCGCGGAGAGACACATGGTCTCCTCCATCCTGTGACAGACACACGGACAGATGGACCAGGCCAAACAAGTCAGACTCTATCTGCGCATGCCAAGTGTGGAGAAGGTGGACGATGTGATACTTAATATGTGAAGGTGAAGGTGACACTGCAGCAGTGAAGGTCAAAAGATGATGATGTTCGTATGGAGGTATTTTAGGAGGTTTTGTGGGGTAATTTCGAGAAATATGAAAGGAAATGGCAGCTAATCCTGGTTGTTAGCAGCATGGACCATTTTTTCATTATAGAATAGTAAGTAGGGAGGCGGACATCCCAGTTGGTCCCCTGTACACCTTCATCCACACAGCTTTGGATAGACTGTATTTTGAACTGTTCTTTAAACGTGGTCTTATTAAAACATTGATTAAAACATTTTGATTGTTTAATGAAAGTATACCGACTTTAAACAACCAGTCAGTTGAATTCATTCACCTTCCATTGGAAATTGTTTTAACATGAATACTGACTCAATCAACTCCTGAAAAAAGCAGGAACGTACGGTGGTTGTGTACTCATGAGAGGAAAGTATGATGATTTTTTTGTTATGTGCAGTTAAGTTGTTAAGTTGGCATTGAATCGCTGGTAGTGTTACCTTGGATGATCAACAGAGCAGCTAACTTTTCAAAAATTCCTGTTAAAGCATGTTGTTTAACAACCTCACCTCTATTGTAAGTGATGCACTCCGACTAACTGCTTGTTCCAGCACTTCATTTAAGCTTTAAAACACTCCTAATGAGAGACAAACCGCACTTTTAATCCAACGTCTTGACTTGATTGTAATAAAAACTAAAATGACGTGGGCGTCTAGGAGAAGTGTCTGTGAGAGGTTAGGCGTTGAGATTCTCAGGTGCTATCGCTACCTTGGTAAGGACAGCGGGTGGTGCATGTAGGCAGGATGATAGTAAGCAGCGGCGGCTGCGGCGTGGGCCGCGGCAGCTTGCTCCAAACTCATGGGTAGAGAGGTCAGCCGGAGGTCATCCGACGTGCCAAACGGCCGCAGCGCTCTCAGGTACTCCTCCTGGATGGCGCTCGAGGGAACCGCGGGGTGCATCTGCCCGGGCAAACTGCAGAACAAGTGCACGCAGCGTTAGTCTAAATCTGTTTAACGTCCCCTTAAACGGGTATGAATACCAAATACGGTCCAACTCTGGGTGTATGGTTGCACTTACCTGAGGCTCTGCATTCTGGGGTCCTGCATGACTGAGCTAGGGGTGAGGCCGAAGGGGTGAGCCAGGGGGTGACGAGAGGGGGTCGGAGGAGTCCTCTTATCGTGTTGTGTCTGGGTGTTCTCGGCCCCCAACCGCTCTCTACCGAGTCCCTGAACACTCAGATCAACCTGACAGACACACAGAGAGAGCAGATATTACTATACATATATATACACATATGTTTGCTATATTGAAACTGGGTGGGAAAAAAGTTCAGGGAAAGTGATGAGGAAAAATGAGTCGAAGCAAAGCCCCCCGAGCTGCACCCAGAGGCTCAGCAGAGTGGAAAAGTGGGCCTGATATGTCATAGCAAGTCAAGATCAAAGTGGAAAGATGATCCTAATATATGGCCAACTGCGTTCTCTCTCTCCCTCTCAGAGGATTCGGTCACCACAAAGTCCTTAATTGCTTATAACACAATTCCAAGCTTCGAATTACAAACATGACAAAATTATAAATCACAAAAAGATATTTCGCGGGCTCGGCTTAGCCCTCTTAGGTTCTTTAATATGGCATGTCTCATTAATTTACTCTTGGTTTAAAGCGCCTCACACTATCATCTTGTGCAGATCACCTTTTAGAAGTCCACAGCAGTAGAAAGGGAGAGAGAGTGGCGGACCTGACTACTGTTCCACTGACCAACATACTGACGTCAGCTGCGTCACACTGCCTACGCGGCTAAAAAAAAACACAGCATTGTGATAAAAATTCTCAACTTCTCCACTATGTAGATGGAACAGCTGCCAGAAAACCTTTGACTATAATACATCAATCACATTTCCATGATAATGCTTCATATCCTGTTGCCAGAGCAACGGCCGGAGGTCAGACAGACCGTGGACAATCCACAAACAAATTACCTCTCCCAGCAACAGCTGATCGGCTACCTTAGTTCTGTTCAAAACTTGCAGAGAAATATCTGTGCTTTGAATATGTTTGAATAGTTTTGAATGGGTCACTCATGAAAAGCAGATTCAAACCAGTGTCGGGCTGTCTCTCTCTCTCTCTCACTCACTCTCTCTCTCTCTCTCACTCTCTCTCTCTCTCTCACTCTCACTCTATCATTCGGCAATATCCATTGGTTAAGAATAAGAGGGGGAGGGCGACGACACACGGAGGGTCTGGAAAGTAGCCATCACATTCCTCGACCTCTGACCCTGCAGACAGCCAACTGCCTCCACAGATGCAGCAATAAACACACATAAACAGTGTGTGTCTTTGGCTGCATACAGTACTGAATCTATGCAAAGATTTAGAGCCCTCTCATCTCACTCCGTCACTCTCCTGCTCATTCTTCCTCCCCTTCTTTCTTAACACCTCATTCTCTGTTTTCCTGCCTCCCTCCCTCTCTGCATGTCTGAATAGGAGCCCCAGGCAGGCCGAGCCACAGAGCGGTCTTTGTGAAGGGGGAGAAAGGCAGCTCTGATCCAGGGGGAAGTGGCTACTGTGGGGGCTCACCCCTGCATTGTGTGAGGGGCCTGGTTCCTCGCTCCACCTTAAATGCGTTCGCACACCCACAAGCAAACACATCCATAGACAAACACACACACATACATACACTGGTCCCTCTTCACATCGTGAGCCTTTTGTGGTGAAGGGTCAAGTACACGCACACACATGTGCACGCATACACTCACACACACGCACAAACACTGCAGGAAGCTGAACACAATACGTGCCAGTCTCTGCAGCCTTCAGTGTTTCTTTACAAACCCCTCATGTGTTGCTGCAAGAGACATGGACTGATTAGTGAGAGGAAGAGGGGGTGAGGCAGAGGGGTGGAAGCATGGAAATGAAAGAATGAGACAAGACAGAGAAAATGAGAGGGAGGGAGGGGGGGGGTAGAGAGACAGAAATGGAGGGATGGCTGGGTTTGACAGTTTGATGTTGACAAGCACTGGAACTATTTCTTTAATGGAGGGAGCAGCAGCAGGGCGGATGAAGGAAACCGAAAGAGACAGACGACTCATCGGTGCCGAGAGAGAGAGAGAGAGAGAGAGAGAGAGAGAGGAGAAACCAGCAATACAAAGGAACCAAACGAACAGACACACAGCGAGAGCGGCAGATGTCCGGGCTCAAACTTGCTCTCACCTGTCTGCCGTCGGCCCTCCACAGGCCGTTGCTGGTCTTGGTGGGGGCAATGGTGACCACCGGGGCGGTGCCGGATACACCGTGGCCCCTGGTCTGGCCCAGGTGGGGCCCTAGCGAGCCCCGCTTCGGGGTGGTTACCGGCGAGCTGTGGCTGGTGGCCGGGGACGAGACGGGAGACGACTCACCGCTGACGGCAGAACCTGGGGCGGGGAGGGAGGGACGGGGTTAACGACAGCAGGGGGAGGCAGATTTAAACTGCAGCTATCAGACGGCTGATCCGATTAAAAAAGATTTCAGGATCAAACAATCCCCCCCCCCCTGACATGATACAGACGGTGCACTCAAAAGAAAAACAAACTTTTTTTTTTGTCAGTGCGCCGGCCTACGACGAGGTAAATAGTGATTCAATCATTTTGATTAAAAGCATTCTGGCTATATGTAAAAGAAATAAAGGAACGTGTAAAAAGGTACAGAAGGTAGAAGAGAGGAGAAAAGGCATGTGTGTGTAATATGTGTGTGTGTGTGTAATATGTGTGTGTGTGTGTGTGTGTGTGTGTGTGTGTGTGCACGCTGGTGACGAAAAAGAAAAGATATAGAGACAACGAGGGAAGGATGTTACAAAGGAGGGTGTTAAAAAGAGGCTGGGGTGCGACACAGCCAATTGTGAGGGGGGGAGGAGGTTGTGGGGGGGGGGGGGGGGTTAAATGTGATAAAGAGAGAAAATGTGTGCGTGGGTTGTAACATTCACGCTACTCTATTTATCCAACACTCAACAAACGGGAGACACAAACACATTCAGAGCGCGAAAGGGGCGGAGGTGGGGGGGAATATGAGATTGAGAGAGAGTGGGAGCGGAGGAATTTCCGTAGAGATAAAGGTGGAGAGAGAACTACACCCGCGCCAGAAAAAAGAAGCCAGAGGATGATGGAGAGAGCCGCCTATAAATGGCCGTCTATAGAGTCTCCTTATTAAGAGTGAATGGAAAAGGATGAAGGAAGAGACAGAGAGGGAGAGGTCAGGATGGGTCAGCTCTTATTCAACACCTTCATTAGGAGACCATTGAGCTGAATGTGGACCAACACACACACACACACACAATAACACACACATACCAGTTAGTAAAACGTTTCAGAATAATCCACAAAAAACACCTTGGTGTGCGAAATGATCTGCTTACACAATTATTGACACTGCAGCGATGCATGAGGCAATTTTCTGTCATTAACACCTTGTTTACTTAATTAAAGGAATAGTTTTGGAAATACGCTTACTCTTATCAAGTCGAATGAGACGATTGTTTCAATTCTTGCGACGGTGAGATAAATATGAAGCAACCGCCGAGGGACATTAGCTTAGCATGAAGCCTGCAAACAAGGGGAAGCTGGAGTAGAGGTGGTTCCTTTGGTTGTGACCCACAAAGAGGAGTCTAGTGTACGAGTGTGTGTGTGTGTGTGTGTGTCTTTATGACAGGGGACCTGCAGCTGCTGGAGCTGCGGGTCTTAAAAGCTCACCTCTGGGATCTTCGGCCTGTTTGGCCAGTTTGCGCAGGGCAGCAGCGAATCCAGAGTTTGCAGATTGGGCGACCGCGTTCCCATTGGTTAGTGGGCTGAGGGGGCTGACAGTGGCGGTGGTGCGAGTTGCCGTGGAGATCATTCCTAATGATGCCGATTTATTGGACTCATGGTTCATACCTGAGAAGGAGAGCGGCAGGAAAAACATTTTTGGAGCTTAAGGACAAATTGCATCGTCCGTTTTTTTTTTGTTTGTTTGGCGTCCCAGCAAAACAATGGAGTCGGGAAAAGGTCTGTGATTCTTTTGTCAGGTAATGAACTAGTTTACCATCTGCTTTCTGCCAGTAGACGTCTCATTCATCTTGAGTGAATGAAAATCATCTCCAAGGTCTCCAACAGAATGGACAAGTGTGTGTGTGTGTGTGTGCCTTTTGTGTCTGGACATCACAGTGAGTCCATACGCGTGGGTCAGCTCCGTCAGAGTAGAGCTGTTGTGTCAAATAGAGCGGTGACCCTAATAGCAAATGACACACATGAGTGCACACACGTCCATTTCCTCAAGGGAGCCAGCCAACACATCGCAAGACCTCGGCAGCGTCTACACGCAAACATGATTAGTTATCACTGCAGTTTTACACCCTGGCAGAGGGAAGCACGTGAACGCACAAATAAAAGACACACACACACACACCCACAGACAACGAGCAAACCCATTGATCTACTGCATAGTGGACACACTTGGATCAGATGTGGTTAGCGTAACCTTTGTCTTTATCCTCTACCCTCTTGCTGACCCACTAATGTTAATTACAGCTGGAATTAGCCGCCAGCCCCCTGCCTCCTACAGCAATGACCTCATTACCACCACACACACACACACACAAGCACCTTTCTAACATGCACACACACACACACACACACACACACACACACACACACACACATGCCACAGGAACCGCACACAAACAGTCAAAGCTGAAAACACACTCATGAAAAATTAATACGGGCACATAGAACACCACTACTGAATGATCTGCTAATCACGTGGAGGGAACGAAAGAAGCAGAAGAATAAAGGGCAGTCAGTTCGTTGATTGACAGCATCGTGAATCTCGTGTTATTCACAGATTACATGTCTGTCATTTTACCTGCCAGCTTTTAACACGTGTGAGCAAAGGCAGGCAGAGGAAGCCGTGGGGCCGCGAGCACAGCGAGAGAGGGAGATGTGTGCAGAGCAGATTGAGGGAAAGGAAATGACCAAGCCAAATCTTTAAGTTGGTGAACATGGAGGGCGGACAGCGGTTGCTGCGTGAATTAATGTGAGCCTTCAGAGAGACGTAGCTGTGCAATTCTGCAGCACGTTTTGAAAATATAAAACCAACAATTAAAGTTATGCATTATCACAGTGATGCAAAAGCTATTCCAGATTTCATGACAGTTTATTCAGGTTGTTTCCAGCGGCCACAAAGCAACCCGGACAGATAACTAATAACCTGTCGACATCCATCTAACTGCCCTTAATCACACATCTAATGAGTGTAATGTATACAATTAACACGCGTGTGTTTATACACCAGAAAACAGGGTACACAACATCTTCTGCAACATCACTCTCTTTTAGTACACTCTCACGTACCTTGTTGACCATTTTCCTTTATTTCTTTGGCTACACCTGTGTATTTGCATGTCATGCCAATAGAGCAGAAAGGCAGAAAGGGAAAGAGTAAAAGCTCAGATCTTGACAGCGGTGTGTGTGTGTGTGTGTGTGTGTGTGTGTGTGCATGCATGTGTTTGTGTGGTGTCTGTGTGTGTGTGTGTGAGTTTTTGTGGTGTGTGTGAGTGTGTGTGTGTGTGCCTGTGTCTCTGCTGAGCCCAGCAGTCAAGGGAGAGATGATAAGACAGTTTCTATCGACTCTTTCTCTCCTTCCTTCCGCTCTACACACTATTTCCTTCCCCCGTCTCTCTCTCTCTCTCTCTCTCTCTCTCTCTCTCTCTCTATCTGTGCGTATTTAACAAGAAACTATAGACATAATCTCTTCTTGTTTTGTGCCTTCTTTCTTCCCTGTTTTCTAAAATCTTTTGACACGGGCAATTCCTCTGATATTTACCCGTCCCGTTTTCACAAACACAAACATACTAACATATGCATGTGAGCATAATTCAAACAAGCAAACAGACACACTCACCCTCCCGCTCACCGCTCTCCTCTTGCTCGCCGTCTTTCTACTCCTCTGTGAGACTCTTTCTCTCTCCCTCTCAGCCTTGCAGCTGCTACGTGGTCACGTGACCTCTTTTCTATCCACTTCCCTCCTCCTCCTCCTCCTCCTCCTCCTCTCTATCCACCCCCCACCCGCCTCCCCCTTCCGCTCCTCCTTCCCCTCCCTCTATCACCCCTACCATCCTACCTCCTCTGTTCTCTGTTCTCTTGTCTCTGTCGCTCCTTTCTATTTTTCCATGTTCTCTGCTCGGCCGTCCCTCCTCTCTTTCTCTCTCTCAAACTGTGCTCACTGTCGTTTTCTTCTCTCCCTTCATTCTTCATCCCGTTTCCTTTTGGCTCACACTCGCCATGCGGTGAGGGTTGGTTGGTGGGTCAGAGGGGGGGAGCAGAAAGAGGAGAAGGAGGGTTTAGGGTGATGACGGGGAGGGTGGGTGTGTGGTTTATGTGTGTGTGTCTGTGTGTGTGTGTGTGTGTGTGTGTGTGTGTGTGTGTGTGTGTGTGTGGCGACAGTGTAGCGTTAACCCTCCATCCATCACTCTGTCTCCCCGCTAGTCAGCTCTGTCTGCTTCGGGGACAGGGGTGGGGCTGGGGGGGAGGGGAGGTTGCTGACAGTGACCTTTGACCCTTCACCTCTGACATCTGCGGCGCAGGACAGCGGGAGGATGGATGGCGAAGCACACAACAGCACTAAATACAAATTAAGACATTTAACTCCCTTTAGGAGTCTTTTTTTTAATGTCCCAACTGAGTGATTAAACACAACTAAAATGGTCGCGCTAGCAGCTCAACAAGGCGCTAATGCTCGATGCACAATGGGAGACTACGCGATGCTACCGTGCGAAAATATGAACGTCTGGGCCGAGGACCATGTTGTTGTTTATAGGACGTCTCAGACTTATCAGACTTAATTTTCACCTGCTTCAGCTTATCTGTGCTTTAGGCTAGCAGCTAGTGTTAGCATAACTACTGTTAGCATCTGTAAGCACAACAAATATAACAGTATAATGTTGCTAACAAAATGGCAACAAATAGCATTTTACCATTAACCCCAAAAGAGTAGCAAGAGGTGTGTTCAGGCCGAGCGAGGCTAACTTTAGAGGATGACTGTATGCAAAGTCAATGCAAAGGAGTGAAATGTCGGACAGATGTTATAAAGCACAAGGTCAGCAAAAAAAAAAACTCCAGTTGGAAATGTTTGAGTTTTAGCCAACACACTCGCAGAGATCCTGGTAAGTTGTAATATCCGTCTAAGCTGTCAAACAAACACACACAGTCCCACTTAGGTCAGCGTGCAAGTGCTAGTAGACACGTAAGCAACCACATGTGACGTCCTGCAAATAAAACGTGTGGAAGGTTTTACATAAAATCTGACGTTGTTTAGGCTTAGCTCCCAATTTACAGCCTTGGCTGTGGTTTGAGCTAACTGTGTTAGCATAAGCTACTGATGTTCAGGCTAAAATGTGACATTTAACTTGTCAGCATACTAATGCAAGCATGTTGCAGTTACAAACATACTAAAATGCAACATGAAATAAACACCATAATTAATCTTAGCATTAATTGATAATCAATTCATTATATCTATAGCTTATATATATCATGCATTTGGCTTTTAGCCAAAGTCATCCACTGGCAACCGTTATTGTCTGCCCCATATTTCCTTTTAATTCATCAAATTTTCTATACAAACTGTATTTTACAAAGGGCCAATTGACCATCCTGTTAAAAAGTGCCACCAACCTGCCATAACAAAAAATATTCCTACGTACGCCAGAAACTAATGAAACTACCAGCTTTGCCAAAATGTAAATCCGGGTGTGACTCCATTCACAAACCAACACACTCACAAATGCACTGTGCTCTGCATGGTGTAATTGATATAGGACATGCTGAGGCTTGTGTCTTTGACACCTTTTTTGTGTCTCTCGCTCTCTCACTTTCACTCTCTCTTTCTCAAACGCACACAAAAACAGACAAACACCGACTACACAAGGGGACTGTGAGGACAGCAGGGGGGGAGGGGGGAGACCTGCTCTGCCCCATCACCTCATTAAAAAAATCACATGTGTGTGTGTGTGTGTGTGTGTGTGTGTGTTTTAAGAGGCGGGTCATTAGGATAGAAGAGGAGGTTGCAGCACACTACCTACTCATTAACACTCATCAGGTTGGCATGTCTGGGTGTGTGTGTGTGTGTGTGCGTTCTTGTGTTGGCTATTGTGTTAACACTTAGACATCAACATGACTATCCTAAATTATGTTTACGAACAGCTACCCAACATTATACCAACAATGTGGGCATGAAATCACACACACAAGTTCTCTTAATGCAAAACATGCTCTATTTAAGTTTTATTATATTATTTTTGGACTCCTACTGCTGATACTAATCGCAACAACAGCTACTGTTGTTGTTGCTGTTACAATAGCTGGCAGACTTTCTTTTAAATTCCTTTGACAAGCACACGCGCTCCAAGATGGAGAGAACGAGGGGTGGAGAAGACGTAGCCAAATGTTTTACAGCCTCTTAAACTTGTCTGTAATAGCAGTCAGAGTGGCGTCGACACAGCAGTCTCCAGGGTTACTCCAGGGGCCGCAAAATGGCTTTACAAGCTCCGGTCACTCTGCAGCTCGCACCGAAACACTTAACACTTCCTTACGATCCATAAACAACGAGCACACTCTCGCATCTCACACACTCTCAAACACGGAAACAGGCATGAAAATTACTTTAAACAACAAAAACACACATACATAAGCGTAAATACGTGCAATGACGGGCACACCTTTTCCAATGTCTCCAACGGGGCTACTCGTCTACAAGCATCAGGTCAGATATAGAAAGAAGATATAAATAAAAGCTGTTTTTGGACCCTTACACTTTTCCTCAATATCTTTCCTTTGTCTGGTCGTTTCCTCCTCACTGTCTTTTTCAGCGTAACTCGACAGCGTCGCCCATCACTGCATTGACGTTTCTCTCCTCCGGGTCACGGTTCTCTCCTGCAGCGCTTTGCTCAATCTCGCCTCTCGGTCACGGAGACGATGCCAAAAGATTAAACAAACCGAGGCAAACCGGTCTTCCCTTTGTCTCCGTTCTTGTTTCCGGCTCCTGCCTGCGTCTGACTCTCGTCCGCAGGTTGTGTGAGTGAGTGTGTGTGTGTGTTCAGCGCTGATGGTGTACACAGAGGGTCATGTCAGACAGTTGACAACCACAGTTCCCCCTCCTCTGGCCCGCGGTCGGCTCTGCTCACCAGGTGCCGACACCGCGGCGGCTAGACCTCAACCATCTGAACAAACATAGGGGGGGAAGGTGTGTGTGTGAGAGAAGGACACACGCAGACGCACACTTGTTGCACAAAGGTGCGCAAAGACAAACAGGCCAGCAGATGCATGTAGATGGGCCCGTTGGGCAGGTGTTTGGTAAGTATAACGTGCAGGGTGTAATTGAGGCGTGCGCCGCGAAACATCCACCGTAAACAATGATGCATTCGAAGAGAGGTTTGGGTCCGCAAATTATAGAGGAACTGGTACTGTTGTCTCTTAGGAAATCAAGCTTACAGATTTTGATTTCTTGCATTATTTCCCTGTAAATTACCAGAGTATAGATCCGACTGGAGCAATGAGAATAGCAGCCTTGGCAGTTGATTTATTCCTTTCATCACCTGCGTCGTCTGTCGATGCGTGTAAAGGCTACGGGACCGCCAACGCTATCGCTCCTGTAACAACACAATGTGCTTTGTGTTTGCACGTTGTGTTCCACCACCGCTGCAGATTCATTCTATACTACAGGTCATGTGTTGTTGGTAATTAGAAATACACTTTAGGAGATCATTTTTTAAATTTCACAAGAAAGTAGCAAACGATCGCCTTATTATATATATAATGCAATATGAAACAATTTAAGTAAATGAAGGCTGTTTTTTAACTATGTTTACAATGGAAATTGTTTTTGAAAAGGCCCTTATAGTGACATTGACTCCTAAACCGATCACTGACAGGATTGATGAACCTCCACAAGCCCTTAAGCTGCTATGGGGATAAAAATAAATGAACAATTCCCCAACTGACTGATTTCAAGTATTATCTTCTCAATAAACCACTTAATCAATTGTTCTACTAAGAAATGTAGATATAAAGGAAGGATTCATCACAAGTAACAATGGGACATCTTTACTTGTTTTGTTTAGTCTGATCAATGGTCAATAACCATGGGTATATACAATATACAAGAAAAGTAGCAAATCCTAATAAATTACCGTAATATATGTGATTAACCAATCAGTAGCCTTTTAATCCCCTGTCAATGGACTACGAGCTTTTGCTCTAATGCCCAAACGGCGATTTGTTTCTGGCCTTCCAGAAACAAAAATATGATCGTGATTCATGTTCATTAACTTTGAACAATAAACTAAACCGACAACCGGTTTAATAAGTTAAAATAAATTTAAAAAATGAAACACAGGGGTTAAGTTGAAGCCACGGAGGCTATGACCCGAGTTTACAGTATCCACATGAGGAGGAGGTAGCTAATTAAAGGGATTGGAGGTTTACTCAGTAACCCCTGCTGAGCAGCTGGTCTGCGGCGGGTCAGGAGCGGCACATGGCGCATAGAGCGCGCGCGCGCGAGTGTGAACATGTGCGTGCGTGTGTGTGTGTGTGTGTTTGTTGAACTCCACCTGCGGGCTGTGTACACACACAAAAGCGACTTGATCCGCTTGACTGCCGCTAATGCGCCCGGCGGC